AAAGGAGGGTTCAGAGAGTTTGGGGGTGGGGGGTCACACACTCGGAGGGCATGGAAGCTGTGCACCCCTTCCCCACACCTTGCCCTGTGCACCTCTCACTCCCCGCTGGCCACGCGGGGCGGCTGGGCAGGAACCTGCGGGAGGGAGGGACCCTCTGCACAGAAAGTATGGGCGATGAAGGGGCAGGCAGTGAATATGAGAGGGGGATGGATGAAACACCTGCGGCCAGACAAGGGTAATCTAGCAGATGATGTGAGCTCCATAATCACGAAAGGACACTAACCAGGAAGTGGGAAGATGGCTCAGAGGATGGACCTGTAAGACAGACTTAAAGAGAGTAACCAGCGAAGGGTAAGTTTATGATGGTAATCCACAGAGCAGCACGCCGCGGAGTACGGAAAGTGACAGTATAAAGGTAGGTGAATGAAAATGCTGCCCAGCTTACTCAATTTAATAGCTGGTTACAAATAACCCCTTTGGTGAGATCCAATTCCATACATAATGCTGGGCAGATACAGAACCCCAGTGCTTCTCAAACTTGGAAATGCATATGAATCTGCATATTAACCGAATTCACTTAAAGTCCAGGTTCTGCTGCAGCAGGACTGGGGTGGGGGTGGGGAGGAGAGGAGGTGGAAACTCTGTGTTCTAACAGCTCCTGGAGCTGCCGCAGCTGCGGGTCCACCCACACTTGGCAGCAAGGACGCAGACCCATGATGTTTCACGGATGATGACACCGTTACGTTTAGCTTTCTTCCTCCTTTCTAATTAACGTGGGATAAATATTAAAATCAATGGGCATGTGTCGTTTCGTGTTATGAAAAAATATATATTTTAAAAAGAGAAAAAGGATGAGCTAACCTGGGATGTCATGGGAGATAGAATAAAACTGCAAGAATAAAACTGCCAGTATGAAACTGGAGCACAGGCGGGAGCATGCGCACCGAGGAAAAGTGGAGCAGCCGGGGAAGGATGAGGCGGGTATCCTCACAGCAAGCCTGTAAGAGGAATGGGGCCAGTGGACACGTGGCCCAAGGACTGTTGGAACCTGGGGTATAAACAGAGACGGTTGACGTGGAAACATAATCCAAAGGAGGGCAGTGATGAGACAGGTGCCGCCCTGAGCTGCCAGGTGTGGGTGGCCCTGCCAGGAGCACACGGGAGTCCTGCTGGGCCCTCGCCACCTCAGGGCTAAGGGACGTGAAAGAAGGGCTCCAACTGCCCTCGCAGTCTGAAGGACATTCTCTGTGAGGAACAAGGTGTGCGATCTGGACACAACTAGAGAGCTATTTAGACAGACAGGTCATAGGATATGCAGAACCCCAGGATACAGTGGACGACTCCCAGGAATGTAGGCGTGAGGGAGGCTCAAGGCCATGGCTTGGCTGGAAAAACCTGGGTGCCTGACTCATGGAGCTTTGGCGGAATGTGTACCCCATGGATGCAGAGAGAGCAAGCAGTTGTTGTCTACAAAAACCCAGCCCAAGCACAGCCCCCAGAGGCACTCGCCGCCTCTTGGATGACAGAAGTGGCAGTGCAGAGAGGTCAGAGCCCTGGTGTTTGGCACAGAACACTGAGTGACAAGCCAGATTTCCGAGGAGCCATGGCCTCAGACGGGGATGAAGTTCAGGTGTTCCTGATTCCTTCACCCACGCCCAGGGCTGGTCTCGGACTCCGGGAACGGAGCAGGTGGCAGATACTATTTGTTATCAGCCCCTGCTAGTTGCCTGGCAACACTAACACCAATACAGCAGTCAACATCATAAAGTGGTATTTACACGCCATCACTGAGTTAACAACACACATGCGTCACCAACAAAAGGTGGCCAGGAGCTAGGCTCCATCCAGACAGCAGTGTGCCCCCTGCTGGACATGAGAGCAACTTGGATAAACAGAAAAAAGTCCCAGATCAGGGAGAAATCCTGGCTACTTCCAAGACCCCACACACAAAATGGGGAGACACAGAAACTTACAGAACAGCCCACAGATGTAGGGGTTTGTCATCTCCAGGTACCTGTCGTATTTAATAATCCCAGGGGGAGACGGGGAGAGGATAGGGGGACCACTAGCTGCCACTTAGGACAATGCCGTGCACTCACTCCCCTTCCCTCCACCGCTAGAGGGCTTTCCTTACGTCCACTTCCCCTTCTAAGGCTCACTCTTCCTTTCACTGAGAAGTAGGAAGCATTCTCCGGTAAAAATGTTTTGAGAAGCTGTTTGACCAAAGTGGGTCCGAGTCACTGGCTCATTCTATGAGAGCCTGTCAGGGCCGAGAGGCCCCAGGAGGACGGGGCAGGCAGTGGCCTCTCTCCCCTCACGCTCCCTGGCTCCCCCCACCGCTGCTGCAGCTCCACACGCCTCGCCCACACTCCGCCCCTCTTGCTCATTCACTCTTTGCCATCTGACAGGACTATGTTCCACACGTGACCTGCGAATGTATGCAACTCTGTTGTGATCTCCTCCCTTGCGTAAATGATTCTTCATGTTATCTACGGCTGTGTTTTTAATCCATCTAATGTCTTAGGACAGTGGTCAGCAAACTGCGGCTCGCGAGCCACATGCGGCTCTTTGGCCCCTTGAGTTTTTAGCAAAGGCCAGCTTAGGCGTACCCTAATTAAGTTAATAACAATGTACTTATCTATATAGTTTAAGTTTTTTTTTAAAAATTGGCTCTCAAAAGAAATTTCAATCGTTGTACTGTTGACACTTGGCTCTGCTGACTAATGAGTTTGCCGACCACTGTCTTAGAACAAGGCCCGCAGGCTAGTGCTGGAGTCACTCCTGTGGGCCCCACCACCATCTCTTCGAAAGACCATGCCCTTCGGTGCTGGCATCGCAGCATTCGGCAAAATGAGTCTCAGGTATCTTACATGTTTTACCGACTGCTCAGCCTCCGTTTTCACATTGAAAAAGTCCTAGGTCTTGTCTGGTTTATTCTTGGGTGCAAACCACTCCTCTCTCCCTGACCAGTTTAAAAGGACCCTCTATGTTCTAGCAAAGTACTGAATCTGACGAGGGGGACCAGGGAACCCCAGATTAACAGCTGGTTGGTCTTGAGCCCCGGAGGCCTGGACACAGGATCGGTGTCTGAGTGGGGGTGTTTTGTGGGACTGAGCCCTTCACCTGTGAGGTCTGAGTGGAGTCAGAACTGCTCATATCTGACGTTAGAAGTGTTGGGAGTAAAAATCAGGTCACAGGGACACGGAGCACCGTTTGGTGTGTGATGACTCCGTCCATCGTAACGAATGTCTGCACTTCAAGCTGCTTCATGCCGCCCCTAGGAACTGCTAACGACCTCAGGGCCACTTACTCCACCACTCAGTGGCCGCAGGTGGCTACTTTTTAAAAGAAGTTAATCATTCATTCTGTGGGTTCCCCCCTCTCGGTTCAGTATGACTTTAAATATAGTTGCTTTGGAAGCACTTCCAGTCTTTCTCTGAGACTGTCTACTGTAGCCTCTGCTAGTCTGGAGTTGGGATAAATCGATGACCGAAGTTACCGGCGGTCCTAGATGGATATTTAGCCCAAATCTCTAGGGTCTGGTCTTCAAATGACTCCACGCACGTACACCCAGAGAGTGTGTACTCAGGACTGAATTTGTTTTATTTTACCTAATGTATTATTCACGCTCAAAAAAAGGCACATAATGAAACTTACTAAAAGAAAGTTTACGAGCAAAGAAAGTTTATGAGAACATAAAATGCAAGGTGTGCCACTGGGGAACAGATATGGGGACTATTACACATGTTAGATAAAATCGTGTCTACTTTTGGTCTGAGGAAACACTGTTGGCATGTTTACCTATAAAATAAAGGACAAAGTACTCTTCAAATGAAGCACTGAGTGTTATTATTCCCTTTCCATCCTACACCCCGGAATATCTTTCATAACTTTGAGGGTGATTCAATTTGTCAGGTTTCCATATAAGAAAATGTCAGTGAAAGTGATTCCAAATTCATCACAACTGCTTTCTTTCAAAGAACTAAATCAAGTGTGACGCGCACCACGCAATGCACACAGCTAGCTACCACCACCCTACCCGCTGTGCTTCGGGAGCGTGACTATCAACAAGCAGATTCTAGCCCAGGCCCCGGCTATGACTGCACTGGAGTCTGTACCCTGCCATGTTCCTTCTCCCTGCCAGTCTGTCCTCCTCACCGCAGCCCGACTTCATTTTCTTTCTTTTCTTTTCTTTTTTAAATTTTATTTTTATTTTATTGATTTTGTACAGAGAGGAAGGAAGAGAGATAGAGAGTTAGAAACATCGATGTGAGAGAGTCATCGATCAGCTGCCTCTTGCACACCCCCTACTGGGGATGTGCCCACAACCAAGGTACATGCCCTTGACTGGAATCGAACCTTTCAGTCCCCAAGCCGACGCTCTATCCATTGAGCCAAACCGGTCCCGGCCCGACTTCATTTTCTGGTCCGAACTGCCTTCCTGCTCTAAGACCTGCTAGTCCCACAACAGACAGGGATCAGTCTATACTCTCAGGCTGGCCATCCAAACCCCCAACAGCTTGGTCCCTTGTCCTCTGCCAACCTGGTCCTCCACTCTCCGCCTTCCTCTTCCTCTCTCCTCAGCCACATCCACGTCCACGCTGTCCAGCGAATACCATGGCCCGGGCTGCCCCGAGACCTTTAAGCTGTTCTTCCTCCTGCCTCCTCCAGACCTGCCAAAGCCTTCCAAAACCTGCAAACCATCCCCCCTCCCAGGAGCAGAGATTCGATTCTCCTTGGGTGCGGCCCCTCCCGGCCTGCCTCACGCCTCACACTTAGTTCGCTGTAGCAACACTCCCAGCCGGGGCTGCTGAGGGAGGTGTTTATCTGCCCCACCAGCCCTCAGTCCCTGCAGAGCGCTCTGCTTTCCACACACCTCCCAGCACAGGGGCTGCGAGAACAGCGGATCTGAGCTGAGGTGCCGAGGGGACAGACACCCTGCTCGCTGACAGCCCTGCCAGGCCCTGCCCACGCGGAACTGGCCCCTTCTGCATACTCACGGTTTCCACAGTTGAGACCACCAAGGCCAAATGGGCAACTGCAAGTCAACAAGGAAAAAGAACAAGAATCAGTCTCAAATCTCAAAAGAAATCACTGAGGCAATTTACTAAGTAATCCTATAAAGAGGTAATATGCAAATTGACCCTTATGCCCTCGCACAAGATATCCACCACAAGATGGCTGGAGGGGAGGGTAGTTCTGGGTGATCAGGCTGGCAGGGGAAGGCAATTGGAGGTGACCAGGCCAGCAGGGGAGGGCAGTTGGGGGTGACCAAGCCTGCAGGGGAGGGCAGTTAGTGGCAATTGGGACAGCAGGGGAGGGCAGCTGGGGGTGGCTGGGCTGGCAGGGGAATGGTTTGGGGGTGATCAGGCTGGCAGGCAGGCAAGTGGTTGGGGACCAGCAGTCCTGGATTGTGAGAGGGATGTCTGACTGCCGGTTTAGAAGGGACTGGGCCTAAACCGGCAGTCGGACATCCCCCAAGGGGTCCCAGATTGGAGAGGGTGCAGCCTGAGCTGGGGTACACCTCCCCCCCTCCAGTGCACGGATTTCGTGCACCAGGCTTCTAGTTTCTAACCAATGCATCATAATAAGTGAACCTGGAGCCTACCTCATACAGGTTTCGTTTTCAAGCCTATATCCGTCTTCACATGCTGAAAGAGAAAAGAACAGTCTGTGAAATTCCAGCCTCTGTCCTTTTAAGACAAATAAGCCGCGGAGTCCTAAACACTCTTGTTCTCTTGCAAGAAACTAACTCAAGCCCTGCCAGTGTTGTCCTGTCGTTTGCTGCCCTATGATCCGCTGTTCATTCGGCAGACATTTCATTCGGCAGACATTTCATTCGGCAGACATCACTAAACCCCACAACATGCTGAGCACGTCCTAGACATAGGTGCCGCCCTCAAGGGACTCGCTGAGAGAAAGAGACCTGCCAACAGGCAGCTGGAATTCATCCTGAAGCCTATATGGTGGCAGGAGGCCACGATACCTGTGGGAAGGTCACCTACTTTAATCTTATTGATGGTTAGCAAGCCTGGTCAAGGCACTGTAAAGACACAGGAGACACTAAGTGTGTGTGCGTGCACGCATGTGTGCACAAGAGCGTGCACACCAGGTAATAACGCAGCTATGCTAGTGTGCAAATATGAACTGCAGAGATTTAGAAAACACACCCACACCTCTATCTTCCATTTCCACAGGGGGCTGACCCCTGATATGCGGTGTCCAAAGGGGACTCACTTTAAATACCTCTGTGCTCCAGCCCCAGTGTCCAGAAGATGTCACTGCTGACCCATCCGAACCCAGCGGACAGGGCTGTGACCACGGAGCTCCCACCTGCACTCATCAGAGGCCTGACGGCTACCGAGGAAAATCTAACTGCAGAAATGAGGCTGCAGAGGCCCTCGGCAGCAAGCCCCCGAGCTAACCGCCGTTTCTTTATGCTGCTTCCTGGGTCATCCCTGGATAAACAGAGCGCCGGGGCCTGTGTCACTGCATTTGCAAAACCTCTGACGGCTATGCCCATCACTAATGCTCGTCTGCAGGTGACACAAATAGGAAACTGCTGACTTGGGAGCAGAGGGGAGGCGGCCGGGCCCAGCCAGGAGCAGAAGTGGCCACAGAAGCTCTGGAGGTGCCGGGTACCAGGCTGGCACTCTGTATGCCTGCACCTCTGCCCCCTTCCCTCTCCCTCCCGACAGCCACGCTGCCCCCAGCGGATGGGTTTTAGCAGAGGTCACCTTCCCACAAGGCTCAGAGTCTCAGAAGGCCGAGGAATGCCTGGCATGAACCCAGGTAAGATGGAATCAGGAATCAGTCTGTCTCTTTGTCTGAAGGCGGCAGCCTGACATGCTGAGGAACGCCGTGAAGCCGCCCAGCATGGAGCACAGCCCGCTCCTCAGCGCCCCCCGCGGGGCCTGCGTGCAGAGCGGAGGGCATATGTGAACCCAAGCCCCGGGGTCTGACGCTCAGGACGACAGCGCTGCCCTCAAATGTATTTTTATCCTCTCCTGACAGAATTGAGTCCTCCGGCGGGCAGTCCCGACAGCTGTAAGTGGCACACCGCTTTTCGCAAGTATGCGATCTGACTCTGATTCCAGGACACCGATCGCCAGCTGGGGTTGGCTGCTGCGTTCCTTCACCGTCAGGGTACTCCGCACCCTGGAGCTGAGCTCTACCCTACACCGCTGAGCAGCCTCTCGCCTCAAACTAAACGAACGTAAGCCCCACCTACAGGGTTTGCGGGATTAGCTTTCCGTCCTTCAATACTTTATGAAACCTTTAAAAACCAAGGCTCGTGGTTCAACAACAACCACAACCTGGGCAAGACACAAGAGCAGTGTGGATGGCTTCCACAGCATCGCCGTATGTGTACATCGCCCTCTTTAGCTCTTAGAACGTCAATGAAGCGTCACTACGCCCGTTTCACAAAAGGGGACACTGAGGCTCAGCAAAGATGACAGGTGACCAGGGAGGCCAAAGTGGGGGGTCTGACCCACTTGGGCCACAGCTGCTGCTAAAAGGTACAGCCTGATTTCATACTTGTGTCACCCTTTGAAAAGGTGAGCAGGCAACAGAATAAAGCTTTGGGAATTAAAACAGTTTTTCTAGCTTCCTTAAGGTGTTGGGGAAAACAAAAGAAAAGGGAAGGAAAGGAAAGGGAAGGAAAGGCATTGCCAGCCACAGGCATTCCATTCTCTTTTCTTTCCCTTTGAATCCAGGGGCCTGGCCAGCACAGGGTCAGAGATAACGCTGTTATTCCAAGGAGGTCATGTGTTCTACCCTGCGGTGAGCCGAACCACAAGGGCCGGCTACCCCTGGCTCTAAGGCTTAGAGCGGGCGCCCAGAGCAGGAAGGAGCCCCCACAGAGGAAAGCAAGGCAGCCACAGCGCTGAGAAGCGGCAGGCACCTCGGCAGGAGTGGTCCATCTTGTTGAACTGGAAGTAGCCCGCCTTGCACTGGCACAGCGCCACCCCGTCCAGGTCTGTGCAGACGGAGGTCTCCTTGTCGCACTCCGGGGTCTTCCGCTTGCACAGGCTGCCGGCTGGAATGGAAAACAAGACGGTGAAACCAAACACAGCCTCCTCCACGTCAGGCCGTAAGACACAGGAACTCTCCATGGCAAGAGGCTCCGGGACAGGTTTCCAAAAGCCTGCCGGTGCCCGCTCCCTGCCCAGGTCCGTCTGCCTTCTGCCCTCCTCCCCCGCGTCGGCCCCCAGGCTGCTGTACTGAGCGTTCACACAGCACGCCGAGACCGAGATGCCCGGGAGAAACAGGGAGCTGGCCCCAGCTCCAGTCCAAGACAAGGACGGCGTGCTGTGTGAGGTGTGGGATCTTCTCGTGCAAGCTCTGCGGGGGTGATCACACACACCCAGAAGCCGAGACCATGCTCCAGGGAGAAAGCTGAGGGGTCAGACCTGCCTCGAGCTGAAGGCGCCTCAGCCTGTGTCTGTGCAGCCTAAGAGATGGGGGGGCAGTGGGAGATGGAGGGGCAGTGGGAGATGGGGGGCAGTGGGAGATGGGGGACAGTGGGAGATGGGGGGCAGTGGGAGATGGGGGGGCAGTAGGAGATGGGGGGCAGTGGGAAATGGGGGGGCAGTGGAGATGGGGGCAGTGGGAGATGGGGGGCAGTGGGAGATGGGGGGGCAGTGGGAGATGGGGGGCAGTGGGAGACTGGTCCACATGCAGAACGTGCCGCTGGACCTCGTCACCACATCACCACGAGAGACAGGCAGGCCACGAAGGTGGGATTGCACACATTGGACCTCTCTGCGATTGTACACGTTGGACGCTCAGGGATTGTACATGTTAGACCCTCTCTGGGATTGTACATGTTGGACCTCCTGCGATTGTACACATTAGATATCTCTGGGATTGTACACGTTAGACCTCTTGCGATTGTACATGTTGGACCTCTCTGGGATTGTACACGTTAGACCCTCTCTGGGATTGTATACATTGGACCTCTCTAGGATTGTACATGTCAGACCCTCTCTGGGATTGCACACATTGGACCTCTCTGCGATTGTACACATTGGACGCTCAGGGATTGTACACATTGGACCTCTCTGAGACTGTACACATTGGACTTCCTGCGATTGTACACGTTAGACCTCTCCGGGATTGTACACATTGGACGCTCTGGGATTGTACACAGCAGACACAATGAGGGTACATTTTACCATCTAAGGTAAGTCCCTCCCCAAAATGACACATGCAATTGGGGTACACAGACAATAGAACAAAACTATGAAACCAACGGGAGAGTAAGCAGTAGCTCAGACCCCTGTACAGGGCACAGCAAGCCTGACATGTGCTGCTGCTGCTGGCAGACAGAGCCAGTTCAGACGGGGAGAGAGCCATGCCGTGAGGACAGTCTTCCCTCTCCCACCTTAAGCCTATTCAGAAACCAGTTCCCAACACGGCAGAACTGTCCCTGCCTACGCCAGTTCTGGTGACAGGAGCGGATGCCCACACTGTGTGTGTGTGTGTGTGTGTGTGTGTGTGTGTGTGTGTGTGTGGTGGTGGGGGGGGGGAGTGGGATGGGGGTCCCGGCATCAGCCTCCTTTTCTGAGTCCTGAGAGCTCGGGGCCGGGTGGATGGCCTGGTCACAGGGAGGTAAGCTTAGGACACAACTTTGGTTCCCAACACCGAATTTCCTGTCTTTATCAGGGGAGACTGACGTGCTCCATCAGAGCCCTGTTTGCGTGTGCGATAGAATTTCCTTTGTTTATTGTGAAAAGTCTGTATTTAAGGGAGAAAAACAAAAAAAAAAATGAAAAACCTCACCAGGCCGACACTGCAGAGCTGGCAGCAGAGAGGTCCTAACGCCCCGCAATCCCTCCTCGCTGCCCTCTGCAGGCGCTGCCAGTCCTCAAGCCTTCCTCTGAAGAAAGGCCTCCGGGGCCACGGCGGCTGGCCGGAGGCGCCTGGCCCGATTAGATAGTCTCTGGACGCTCATGTCACGTTTTCCTTCCATCCCGCCCCTGAATCCAGCGTGCTGGCTGGCGGCCCACCGGGCATGGAGGCAGGTTCCCGGGAACGCAGGGGAAGCCGGCCTGCCCGTGCGGTGGAGGCGCTGCTCTCCTCAAAATTCCCCAAGAACAGAGTTCTTCTACCGTAAACCCACCCCTCGGGACCAGGCAGAACCCCCTGTGCGTTTGAAGCCCAGCGGTGGGATCGTTCTACTTCGCCAGTTCCCAGGGTCCTTCCTGGGCATGGCATCCGCCGGACAGACAATGAGAACTTACGTAAATCGGAGGCCGAGAGCCCGCCCGGGGGATTTCCAAGGATTCCAACCCTCCGGGGACATGAGGGCTGCAGGGTTCCGAGGGGAGAGGAAGTAGTGTTTTGTGAACCGAAGGGTCAAAGCCCGCCTTTCCCAGGGCCGCGTCCAGAGTCGTCCGTGCTGCCCCCAGATGTTGGGAACGCCCAGATGTCAGAGCCTGAGAGCTCCTGCCCATACGCCCGCCTCCCTAGCCCTCACTGGTGAGCGAGAGACCAAGCTGCGTGTGTTGGCAAAACCTGGAGAAGACGTGGGATCCAGAACAGAGATGTGTCTCTGTCTTCACAAGCTCTGGCCCCTTGGGAATGCACATGGATGACCTTTAATTATCATCAGCTGAACTCAAGGCGTAGGCAGAGCCGTACCCTGGGAACATGTTTCCTCAAAATGTCGAGACTGTGATCAGTACCGATTTCACTTACCCGGGTCTTGATATGCTAAATCCCAGGAATGAGGGAATGAATAGGACCTGGGCACACCTAACACTTCTTTGACCTTAAAACCCCCTCTGGAAATCAATAAATGCGCTGTGTTGTCTGTGGTGGGTGGTTGACAGTCTCTCCATCAGAGTGGCAGCCCCCCACCTGGGTTCCAGCTTGAATCTATTTCTGTGTCTTGGTCTCTTTTTTTCTTTAATCTCTTAATCCCCAGCTCCTCCACTCAGGAACCTGTCCTTTTCTGCAGGGTGATGGGAAACAGAAACAGCCCCCCACACTCTATCTTATTCTCAACTTTGCAGTGAATCTGACACTGCTCTAAAAATATTAAAGTCCTAAAAAAAAAAAAAAAAGAAAGAAAAGAAAGAAAGAAAGAAAGAAAGAAAAAGAATGGGACCCCAATAAGGAAAATGGGCTTTCCCAGGATCCACACACATCCACGCTGGAAGAATGGGAGTCAGAGAGGGGGCAGGGTTGCTCTGAACAGGACCTCAGGAATCCAAGTATCTGGCCACTTGATCTGCAAGGCATGCAATGCATTTACCTGGACAGAACGTAACCTCACATCAGGCCGACCACCCAGGGTGCCCTCGGTGAGTGTTTACGGAATTGAAAGGTCCCCTTCCTGCTCGTTGAGGAGGACAACTAGGGACCCTTGAATCACAAAAACAAACAGTAAAACCAAAGAGCTCTGGACTTTGGGTTTAGAGCAGTCCGTCCACAGGGACATGCACTCCCCAGTGATGCTGAATGAGAGCAACTGCCACCTAGTGGGCCCAGGCGGGAGGCCCACATCCGAACCCCGCAGGGAAGGAGCTTGGCGGAGCTGCTCCCATCGCTTCTGAGAGGGCAGCAGGGACAAGCCCCTTTGCCAGGAAGCCCTTTGATGCCAGCAGTTTTCTGCTCCCAGAGGCACCACCCCTCTCTAAGACCCACATTTGAACTTGTCTCTAATCCCTCCCTTCATCTGCTTTTTCCAGGAGATGCACCGCAGAAGCTTTGGACAAAACAGATAAAGCAAGAACGAGAACAGGGAGATTATCCTGACGGACACCGGGCAGCTGGCAGGGACAGCCTGGCCTATGTGTGTGTGCACTGGTAATCTGCAAACGGGCACACATGGCCGGTCAGATCCTCCCGGCTGCTCTTACTGAATGGCGGTCACCGTGAAGGCGGGGGCTGCTGTCGAGCAGGTAATTCTGTGTGGACGTCTGCCTCCCCAGAGAGAGTAGGAGCTTTTCAAGGGAAAGAAGAGTGGTTTTTGCTCCATCGCATCTGCTCCCGTGTAGGAGTAGAAGAGCCTGCGTGTGCACAGTCCACAGACACCAAGGTCTTTCACGTAAGGCGTTTCAAAGATAGCCTGGCTCTGTGACGCGCTTTCTTGAACTCAAGCCCGGACCGCCTTACTTGCCTCTCCCGGGGGTGTGCTGACCGTACGGGCGGGGCCGCCCCAGAGGGCCGTTCTCTCACCTCTAAAGATGCGCCTCTGCGATCCCAGGAGCTGGCAGACCTCGGCGGGGGACCTGCAGGAGTTGGCACACCTCTGCATCCCATCGGCCAGGTCGAACAGCGTCACGTTGGAGGCCAGGGAGAAGGTGGTCTGCAGCGACAGGGCCACGGCGCCGGACTCTCTACGGGCAAAGCGTGCAGGTTTGTCACCGCTCCAAAATGACAGGCGGGCCCCAAGGCTTGTGGAGCCGTTATCCCCATTGTGAGATATGGTAGCAACCACAGCCTTGGGTAAAAACTGCCATTTGAATTTTAACCCTGCTATTCGGGCTTTGGCACTCGCTTACTTGCTTAAACAATAGGGTAGCTGCCTCAGCTTCCAGATGGAGACCTGGAGGCTAAGGCAGTTTTCCTGTGCCTGTGGACCAGGACCACAGGAGATGGATTCCCACTGACTCAGTAGCTTCGGGAGTAGAAACTGTAGATAACCTTTAGAGATTAACCGCTCGGGTCTGCTTCTGTACTAACTGCTATAGCAAGATAGGGCCACATTCCAATGTCCAGCAAGATGTGACTGGGAATGACCCTGCAGGCTGTTCTTAGAATTTAGAGTTCAGAACAAAAGAAAATTCTTGTGGTTTAGACCTTTAAAAGGACTGCCTACACCTGGAACGGGGCGGACGTGAGTGTGGCCACCTGCGTGTGGTGCTCCTGCGGCTGTCCTGGCCAGTTCAATAAATCCTTGTCTGCTTTTTTTAATCAATCATCAGCCTCCAGTGGTTTTATTTTGAATCCAGGGTTCGACCCTACAACAACTGCCCAGCAAGGGAATGAATGAAACGGCATGAAGGTCCAGTGACGTTGGCCCTGGGTCACCCTGAGGCTTGGTCTAAAAAGGGCCCATGTTTACTGCTGCCGCCCATGAGCGAACATCCTCCCCCTTCTGCAGACCGGTTCACAGGCCAGTGCACTTACCCTGAAGCACGAACTGTGGACCGGGTATAACCAGGGAACACCGAAAAACACATATTCAGCTGAAAGGAAGAACAGGTTTGCCTGTTAACGGTGAGCTAGACAAAGAGCCTTAGAGCTGGAACCGATTTCCTATTCTCCGTGTTCAACAGGCATTTTCCAGCCATCAAGCTCTCAGCAGGGGGTCTGACAAAGGAGTGGTGTGCTTTTTGTGTTCCCCTCTTAAACGCCTTCCTGCGCCTGTTCTGCGCCCCATGAGTCCAAAGGGAGAGAGGCCCAGAGTGAATCAGTCCAAGTCCCGGCAGGGGCGGAGGTTCTGAACAGCACCCTGGGATGCAAACCATCTTCAAAGCAGCAGATCTCTACGAAGATCTCGGGTTTCAAGAAATGCCTCCAAGGCAACTGTTTATATTTGGACTGCGCATGGAGAGCGAGCCTCCTGAAAAGGCTGGTTCCTTCCCACTGCCCCAGGTCCGACAGGTCCTGTGCAGGCTCCTCTGGATGTACAATGAGTTGACCCGATTTGAAGCCAGGTTCTCAGCAAATATGGGGCATTACGTGGGTCAAGAACCCTTTTGTTGAGCGCCAACTAAGAATGACTCTACCCGTTTGCCCTGTGCCCTCGGAGACAGCAGGAAACCGCTCAGGGTGTAATGAAAGCGCCATGTCTGCTTCCCTGTCTCCCCTGACATTCCCCCCACCCCCACCCTCCCCTCCACACACACACTTTGGGGCCAGGAATTCCTTCCTGGCAGCAGAGGGTCTCAACACGGTGGGCAGTGCAGACGCACCTGGCCTCGCGTACATCTCACTCTTCAGAAGAAGGATTCAAACATGGGATGCTATCAGGCCTTTATGGCTTCGTATGACACTGCTTTATATATTGATAGGCAATGACCTATTACTGGCATTGGTCCTTAAGCTCTCCCCTCCCAGGTGAAGACAGAGGCGAAGCAGTTCAGAACAGGATGGCATCTTGGGAAGGGCCACTGGACTGGCTTCTCCAGTCACTGCCTAAATCTCCACTATTTCCTGGGGTGGGGGGTGTCACTTTGCTCACAAGGGATGGGCTGATCCTGGGTCCAACTTACCACGGAGCACTGTGGAACGGAAGGACTGCGCCTGGGCACGGGCTCTGGGCCCTGAGCTATCTCACAAGGAAAGCCTGACCCAGAGGCAGGTGTGGTGGAGTGACAAGAACGCCGGGTACAGGGTTAAAGACGTAAAAGTAGACATAAAACCTGCTGTATAGTGAACAATTAAACCCTGCCCAAAGGGAGGTCTGGCTGAGGCTCCTGGGAGGTAGCTCTAAGCCTTGGAATGGCCTGCCTTTGTTACACCGGGGGCCTGGGCCACTGAGAGTCTAGCATGATTGGTGGTGAGGGCTTTGAGTTATATGGGAACCCTTGGACCTCAAGAAGGCTTGGAATCCAACGTCAGTCCTATGGGCAGTTGACCATGTCTAGATCTTATATTAGTGCATGTGCTGCTGAAGCGAGCACAATGTATTGGCTCTAGCCACCAAGACTCGGGCGTGCTTCCCTGGCCGGCACACTCCATGAATACTATGCACATCATTGTCCAGAGGCATCAACCCTGTGCACAGCCCCGTGGGATTCCTTCCCCCCTCCCGCCCTCCCGCCCTCCCTCCCCTGGGCCCTATCCCAGGCCTCTCTTCCTTTGGTTGGCTGTTCCCTGGACCCGTTCACTGCAACAAGCCATAACCATGGTGTAACAGCCTCAGGCGCTATCTGTGAGGCCTACTGCAGCGTCAAATCTGAGGGTGGTCTGGGGGTCCCCGAATTTGCAACTGGTGTCAGGCCTGCAGGTGGTCTGGCAGCCTGCTCCCTAACCTGGCATCTGCTCAGGCAGCAGCATCAGCTTCCAGGGCCTGCGTTTTCCATGTGTCCTGGTGTCGGAATACCTCTTAGCAAGGCACCTGTCACACCCTGCCAGAGCAGGTGCGCTCGGGAGATTCGGAAACAGAGCTACAATCTGAAGTTTGCAAATGAAATCCACAGTGCTGTAACATCCTCGAGGCTTTGGCTACTACACTCACTCTCACCCAAAAAGAACAAGTAAAACTGAAATCAGAAAGAGACTGATCTCTAAAACTTATTTTAATGGCAAACTTTGGTTTTCTAGACACCAAATCTTAGACCCAGAGAGCAGCTGAGAGGCAAAATATACTGTTTCACTTCATCTCTTCTTTCTTCCTCTCTATTTTACCCTCACTCCCTCCCTTCCACCTCCCCTCCTCCCCGACAAAAAGCCGAGAGGGAAAGGAGAATCCAAGGCCCCTGGATAATCTATGCAGTGAATTCTACCCCTGGATAACCAGGGCGAACTGCTCCCCTCTTGGCATTCCCTTGGACAAAAGAGCGCTCGCCTCCCCATGGCCCCAAACCCAGAGAATGTCACACGGCAGATCCAAAGCAGGATGTTCTGGGCCTTTCCTCGCCACCAACAGCTTTGACAGGTTCACGTCACCTACCTGTCGGTGCCTGTCAGTGTGCACGTGGAAAAGAAGCTGCAACCCACCGGCAAAGGCTGCCGGCGAGGGCACATTCGAACACACACCCCTCCCGGGGACGCTGCTGCCCGACATCTCCCTCCGTTTCCGAGAGGCCTCTTATCCTGCCCCGAGCTTACCATCCACACATCACAGAAATGACAGCCTGGAGACAAAGCTGGCCCCCAGGAGGCTCCCGATGCCGAACGAAATCTGTTCTAGAAAACAAAGGCCTAGAAGGAAAGTTCCTTTCAGAAAACTCACCGTGCTGGTGACCTCGTTTTCAACTTCACGCAGGTCCGAATGTCTTTCCACGGTGGAATTGGGAAACGTTTTCTTTAATTTGAACTCTGTCACGAAGGTTCTAACTGCAAACGGAAACATAACCCGTTAGGCTACACGAGAGGTCGATCTACGCAGGCTGTGTGCCTGTAAGTTTCCGGGGCATCCGGCCTTATCCCACCTCAGAGACCCCCTCTGTGATTTCTTTCCCTCTCTGCGCTCCTCTCCGCGCAGGTGAGCACCGACTGAGCTGAGCTGATGGCTCAGACTGAGTAACCCTTTGGGTGAGACATGCCAAGGAGCCCTTTGTGTGGGAGGGAGGGCTGCTGTGAGGAGCCTTCCTGACGCCTCTCTAACGGCCTTCCCATAATAGATGCCCAGTAAAGCTGTGGCAAAGAGGAAAGGTGAGCTGGCCCAAAACTATATAATCCCAGGAGGGTGACGTGGGGCCAGAGACAAAAAGTGCTCCTCGGGCCCCATAACGCTTTATTTATTTACTAGGGGCCCAGTGCACAAAATTCATGCACAGGTAGGGTCCCTAGCAGCTGCCGGCTGGGGCCTTCCTTCGTTCCACGCTGCCTCCTGGTGGTCAGAGCATGTCATAGCTAGTGATCAAACTCCTGGTTGGTCAAACTCCCAAGGGGACACCTTGCATATTAGGCTTCCCTGACTGGGAATCTAATTGTGACCTCCTTGTTCATAGGTCAATGCTCAACTACTGATCCACAATGGCCAGGCATAGCACTTTAGAGCAAGCATGTCAACCTTGTGGCCGTGGGCCGCATTCAGCCCATAACAAATATTTTTATGGCCCAGTCAATATAATAGTATGTAAGAAACCTTTTAATAAAAATTTTGTAACTTAATTTTTACAATATCCTGGTATACATAATTATTGGTAATGAACTACAACGTTCACTAATGACTGATTACTATAATCATGTTGCATTCATTTCCCATACATGCCTTACTCACATGTGCACCATTTCTCCCCACTAATACTAGCGGCAAACATTTTAGCAGCCAATTGCCACATCATTAGTCTTGGACTGACTTGTTTGGTGTGGGTTTGAAAGGAAATATTTCGCTTTTGGAGAACAAGAAAAATAGCTTTATTTGCATTGTGCTTGTTAATCTGTGCAGTTAATTACTCAGGGTCTGGCAAGTTAATGTTCAAGAAAAAGTACTAATTTTTATTAAAATGTTCTATTATTTTATGTTAATGATTACTCATTTATTTTAGCCATTGGTATTCAACATGTCTCCACTGAAATATACCTACATTTCTGTGAAACTTGAAGCTTTTGTGGTGTGTTTTTTTGTGGCCCACATAAACTTACACCTTGTTTATTTGGCCTGTGTTAGCCTTTGAGTCTGACATGCTTGGTGTAGAGAGAGAGAAAGCTCTTGCACTCCAGGTCTTTCACCAAGTTGACAAGTCCTGACCTTCAAGGGCATGCTTAGGTTTCCTCTTCTCCCAGAGTCACCCCATCCACCCCTGTTCCTTTTGTTCGGAGGAAATGCCCCCTTCATCACTGTAACTTCCCAAGGGTACGCAGCTGCCAAGGTCCAAAATGAACATTTAACTTCCTGTGTGCCCATCTCCCACGTTCCTCTACACCTCAGCCCCCCGAGGAACCTGGTATTCTGAGGACAATCACGGGGCGACAAAGAGAGGCTCCAACCTCTGTAACAGGACCCCACTCCCGGGGGCGCTGTTAGACTCCACGATCATAGGCCATGTAATGAAACGACCCATATTCAAGATAATGTTGGGTTCAGACATGAAAGAGAGCATTTTCAAGGCCCGTGTCACTCATAAAATAAACTTCTAGTAAACACCAATTTGTGCTGGTTGGGCCTGAGGGGAAGGGAATGTACAAATGGGCAGGCAACCCAACATTAGTATAGACTGCTTTATATCTGGCTCTTATCTTCCTTTATATTAAATTCTTACCTTCCCCTCTGGACAGGAAAACAATAACAACCCAAAACACAGAAACCCCCAAAGCTGCTTTTTCATAGAAAGCTTTGCTTGCTGAATTAAGAGAAAGGCCCATCAATGCGCCAGGGAAAACATTAACATCTTACACTTCCTGTCTGAAGCCCTTAATCCTTATTTAACATCCTTTTGCTGGTTCTACAGTTCAGTGGAGCCAGCTGCTGAGGACTCCTTCTGAGCAGCAGGGAGCTCTTTGAAAACAGGCCAAATGAAAGCCTTTTAGCACGCTCTAATTTGCATATGCCTCTGATGTTTATGAACAATGAAGTTAAATGACTTGAAAAGGGAGAGATGATTGTGAACACAGTTGATCCGCTCTCCTCCCGATGCTGGTGCCCCTGGGACCCTCCACACACAGGCTTCCAGAACCCTCATCTGCTCCTTCGTCTTTACATCTCACAGGTCCAGGCTCATACCCAGACGCTCTGCATAGAAATACACAGATGCAGATGCTAAGAACACAGATCTCTCCTGAATCGCGGCAGTAAATGCGACCTCCACTTTTAGAGCAAATGTGCACGTGAAGATGGCATCCCATAGCATCCTCCCGGCCCTGCACTCTCCCTGGCACAAAGACACCCTCATGCCTGCAGTTATATCCCCTGGCTTTCAGGCAACTTAAAAAGAAATTTTTTTTTAATTGTTATCAGAGAGGAAGAGAGAGGGAGAGAGATAGATAGAAACATCAATGATGACAAAGAATCAGTAATTGGCTGCCTCCTGCACATCCCCTATTGAGGATCAAGCCCACAACCCGGGCATGTCCCCTGACCGTGAATTGAACCGTTACCTTCTGGTTCATAGGTCAACATTCAACCACTGAGCCACGCCAGCCAGGTTAAGGCAATTCTTTACTTCAACCTTAACTACTGATTTATGCAGGCTATTGAAATGATTTTTTTAAGACCATACTTATTCCTTTGTATTCAGAGTAGTTTATTATTTTCATTGCTTTCAATTCTGGTCCAAGAGGCTAAAGACTAATGTAAAATGATACCTCCCGTCTGGAGGACTCCACCATTTCCTTTTCTTTTCTTGGAGTGCTCCTGAACACTACCATTTCCAAAACTTGAAAATCATTTTATTTGATGCTCACAATAAGCCTGAGTGGGAAGCAGACCAGGGGGTAACCTGGTGTTACAGATGAGGAAACTGAGGCTCAGGGTTCATGGGACTGCAGGTGGCGGCTCTGGGGCTGGCGTCTGCATTCCCAGGCAGGAACTTTGCACACGGCTTCCAAATAAAATTATGTCCACCTTCTCCCTTCTTAATCCGAAACTCCTGGCTTACAGGGTGCAGCTACGTGGAATGCGTTCCCCAAAAGCAAATAAACTCTTAGAATAAGAGGACTTCTGGATTTTGACTGGTGTCTAGGTTCCTCAATTTTTATTTCTTTAAATAATGCTTTGATTTAATCCTTGTATTTAAACCAATTTTCAAAACTCTACCTTTATTTCAGTAGAGTAGCAACTGTTGACATAAATTTCTAGGCCCAAGAGAGAGCTGCTCCTGCCTGGGACAGAACTGTGGTGTGGGCTCTGCTGGGCCAGAAACACAGCATTTCCAGCCGGCCACTCCCCACCACCACGCCAGCCCTAGGCCCTACACTTATTTCCTAGTTCCTTGATTTTTTTAATTAAGGTCAGATATGCATCCCCCGTCAAATCACACCCCATTTCCACCTCAGTCCACTTTAAAAAATATATATATATATATATATATATATATATATATATATATATATATATATATATTTTATTGATTTTTTTTTTTACAGAGAGGAAGGGAGAGAGATAGAGAGTTAGAAACATTGATCAGCTGCCTCCTGCACATCCCCTACTGGGGATGTGCCCGAACCGCCCTTTACCGGAATCGAACCTGGGACCTTTCAGTCCACAGGCTGACGGTCTATCCACTGAGCCAAACCAGTTTCGGCTCAGTCCCACTTCTAACCCTCAGCAGCACTTGCTCTTGCCCACAGTCCCTCAGGAGTGGGTGGCTTCCCTTGAATAAAGGACCTCACATTCCTAAGTTGTTCTAGTTTTGTTGTTTGACACAACCTTCTAATAAGTCTGATGATTCCCCTCAGCCTATAGGCAATATCATGCAAATGATATTTCCCAAAGACAAAGACACCTGTTCTCACAATAAAATTGACTGGGTACTTTCTATGTGTTCAGTATCCCACGGGGTGGTTTAAGATATTCAAAGATGAGTCCCTTTACCTGCCTTATCGAGCTTAGATAACAACTCGCTGTCCTTCGCTTCTAATTTCTTCCAGTTGTGCACTGGACTTAGGCATTCCAATTCAGGGCTATGCACTGTGTGCAAGATAGCCCGCGTCACTAACACATTATTGTGTGACAGGAAGAACAGGGCTGGAAGGCTGGCTTCCAATCAAGCAATTGTATACACCTGGCCACGTAGCACCCCGTCAGGGCCTCAGTCTCCAGGTGGGTTATTTCTTAATCTTAAAGCAGTGACTATAGCTAAGATCACCAGCTTTGTGAATCTTATCAAATTAGGAAACAAAATGGGATGAATTGCATGGTACAAGTATGGCAACAGCTTTGTAAAAATATATCTGCCTATGGATAATAACAGGAAGGCTGTTTTTAAAACCAAAAAGAATGTGTGAATTTGGTAGGACAATCAGGGTGTGGGTTTTTCCCTCCACTTTTTCTCGCCCTAAAATATATTTTTTAAACAATGTAGTTAGAATATTCTTTGATATGTTAAGGTGACCAGATGTCCCGCTTTTGGCGGGACAGTCTGATTTTTAACAATTTGTCCTGCATCCTGCGGCATTTTTAAAAAGCCCAAAAGATTTAAAAGAATCTTTCCAAAAATCGGGACTTTTTAAAAATGCTGCGGGACGCGGGACAAATTGTTAAAAATCGGGACTGTCCCGCCAAAAGCGGGATGTCTGATCACCTTAATGTATACATTTTTTTCCTAATTGCAGGGTGAAATGGTGAAACAGTTTATGCACGAACAATGGCACACGTATGCAGTCATTAAGAAGTTTGCGTAATATTTTTAATAACCTGGGAAAACGTTTAAGATGTAACATTTGTACAAATACCACATGATTTCAACTATGTAAAACTATCATGCACACTAAAAAAGTTTCCTATCAGGTGCTATCTTTCTAACAGGTGGGACAAGGGGCAGCTTCCCCTTCCTTCTCTCTTCCTTAAACTATATCTCAAATCCTGGTTTTCATCAGGGAGAAAACCTGATGAAATACTAATTATGTCGCTTTGCAAAATACAGTGTGGTATAGAAATAACAGACCAACTCTCTTACCCAAAGTGCATATTCCTTTCTCTAGCTGGTACCCAATGGGGCATCGGCAGGTGAAGGATCCCTGAGTGTTGTTGCACGCGGCCAGCGGTGGGCAGGGATTGGAGAGGCACTCATTCACATCTGCAGGGGACAGAACACAGGCCACAGTGAGTCTGTGTCCGACAGCAACGCCATAACCCAGCACAGGACGCACGGACTAAGAGCCCAATGGCATGAGGTGAAGGGGGGACCCAGAGGCCAGTAGGACACTCCCCTTATTCCCAAGGGGCTACCAGCCTATCAAGGGTGGGGGCAGCCATGCAGAGAGCTAACGGTAAACACAAGACAGGATTGGGAGGAACAGAAAAAGTAGCAGATTGTAAGGGGGGGGGGGGTTAAGAATGTTTCTATCTGTAATAGCATCAACAATTCAAAAAAAAAAAGAGCCAAAACCGGTTTGGCTCAATGATAGGGCATTGGCCTGCGGACTGAAAGGTCCGGGGTTCAATTCCGGTCAAGGGCATGTACCTTGGTTGCGGGCACATCCCCAGTAGGGGGTGTGCAAGAGGCAGCTGATCGATGATTCTCTTTCATCGATGTTCCTAACTCTCTATCCCTCTCTCTTCCTCTCTGTAAAAAAAAAAAAATCAATAAAATACATTAAAAAAAAAAAAAAGAAAAAGAAAAAATACTATGTTTCAAATGATATCTGGACTAAGACTAGAACTTCAATAAGCAGACATGGGCGGGGTGGGGTCTAGGCTGAGGCGCCAGCACAGTGGAGGCCAGGGGAGCAAAGCAGAGGGGCCTTCGGGGAGCCGTGCACGGCCCAGGGTGGCAGCCGCGTAGGGAGCCCACCAATGAAGCCAGATCCGGAGACCTGTCAGCCTCACTGTGTGACATTATCCTGCAGATAATAATGAGCAGGTTAACCTCAAGCAAGCAGAGCACCCACTTAGACATCTTACTGCCCTGCATTTTGGAGAACAAGCAAGTTTGCTGCCTCTCAAGATGTGCTACTGGACTGCAGACCCGGGATGGCTCTTCCTCTTACCCACACTGCAGTCCTCGCCTTGCCAGGAGGCTGAGCACACGCATCGATGCCCGCCGAGGGCGGGGTCCATGACGCATTTCCCACCGTGGCGGCAGGGGTTGGGGGCGCAGCCGTTCACTGAAACACATTCCAGGAACAAAGCAGTTAACCGCACAGGAAATGTACAAGCAGCACTCGGTAAATATTTAATTCTCCCGGCTAATATTTGATCCTCACTTATCTCTATTTACTTGCCCTGAAAGGCCACGGCTACGAAAACAGAAGGGGTGCCCGAGAGGGGCGGCCGGCCCACGGGAGGCCTGGATCCCGGTGCTCGCTGGTGGGCAGACTCAGGGGCTGGCTCAGGGGCTGCTCACGTGTCCCCCCGCTCAGCAAGGACAATGATGACTCTGCCTCTGTGAGCCTTAGAAATTCTACCGGAACGAATGCCCATGTAAAACACACATCAAGCCGAAGCCGGTTTGGCTCAGTGGATAGACCGTCAGCCTGCGGACTGAAGGATCCCAGGTTCGATTCTGGTCAAGGGCATGTACCTTGGTTGCGGGCACATCCCCGGTAGGGGGTGTGCAAGAGGCAGCTGATCGATGATTCTTTCTCATCAGTGTTTCTAACTCTCTAACCCTCTCCCTTCCTCTCTGTAAAAAAATCAATCAAATATCTTAAAAATAAATAAATAAATAAATAAATAACAGATAAATAAAACACATATCAAGAGGAAAAGGATCCCTGATCAACCCTCTTCCTGCAGCAAGCTTTCCCTTCATCCGAAAACCTCACAACGTAACAGCAGGTGGGCCTCCGCAGGCTGGGCCATCGTTAGGAAAGCCTGGAGGGAAGCATGGCCACGCCAGCTCGTTACGTAATGTTTAATGATGAGCCAGCCCTTAGGCTTCCTCTGGACCCAGGATGCGCCGGCTTCCATGTCATCTCGGACTCCTGGCTCCCGAGGGCAGCGACCACCGCTCTCCGCTTTGGTCTGTGCAACCTGCACCGTCACCCTCCCGAGTAAAGGTGTCTGACACCGACGTGGAAAAGCCGAATCCCACAAAATAACTGCCTCTCCCCCAGGAGAGAATGGGCGGGAGTGAGAGAAAGAAGACGGAAGTCAAGGTTTCTGACTCCGAAAGAATAACCCTGAAAACCGATGGGCTAACCCCGTGGTCGGCAAACTGCGGTTAGAGAGCCACATGCGGCTCTTTGGCCCCTTGAGTGTGGCTCTTCCACAAAATACCACGGCCCGGGCGAGGCTACGTTGAAGAAGTGGTGTTAGAAGTTTAAATTTTAAAAATTTGGCTCTCCAAGGAAATGTCAATCGTTGTCCTGTTGATATTTGGCTCTATTGACTCAGACGGTGCTCCTAGCCTCGCCGCTGCCTTAACGGAGCTGAAATCACCCAGCGAAGCTCAGCAGCGATCAGCCAACACTGAGCCCACGGGTCCTGCTGCAAAACACACATCCCCGGCCAGCGATGGTGCTAACCCCCACCCGCAGGTGCCACTGCAGTGGCCACCACCAGCGAAGGGAGATGGTGTATATTAAGCGGGACAGTCCCAATTTTCAACAATCTGTCCCGCGTCCCTTGGTGTTTTTAAAAAGTCACCTTAGGTGTCTAGTGACCTTAGTGTATATCTGGCTGCAGGCAGCGAAGCCCTGTGGACACTGAAGCGGGGGGTGGGGGGGGGGTGGTGGTAACACTCCCCAGGGGAAGGATCCAGCTTTCACTCCCCGGGGTGCAGAGGGGGCACTGAGCCTCGTGGGGCTGGCAGGCAGGTGGCACATGACCCTCCAGCCACCAGACTGCTGATGGCTGAGTGGGGGAAGCCTGCCACAAGCAGTCCCCACTGCCGTCACAACAGAGCACTTCCCGTCCTCTCTCTCCGAGGACCCCGTCTCCGCTGCACCCCGTCAGCCCAGCAGCTGTCCTTCCTGGGTCTGCACGAGCCACGGGTACACCTTCTAAATAGGACATCACACAACAGGCCGTCTGACTTCTCCCTTCCCTCACACGACCGAGTCACGTGTGTCCGAGAGCTTCAAGATAGCCTCGGGCACAACGCCGTCACGATGGGGCAGGGTAGTCTGTCGTCATCTTATGGAACATGCCCACCTACCCCCTCCCCCTCCACACACACACCATCTACCAACCCGAGGGACACAAAGGGGCCAGCCACCTGCTGGCTCAGAAGCTCGGGTTCTGATCGGGGAGCAGTCACCCACTCTGCCAGGCCGCCTCAAGCTTCCTGACTGCCTTTCCTCTACCCTCCAGCGTGCGTCTCGGCCCGCTCTGGGAGAGTTGAGAGCATGCTTGTAAAGGCTTTCCAGGTTCGGGACATCACAAGCTACTGGCTACACCGTCCACTGATGCCGCCCAGCCAATGGCCTCCTCTCCTCCTTGTTCGGGAGGGAGGGATTGTGTAACTCAGGGGTGAGGAGATTAGGTGACAATGCTTTATGCTTTAAGTGCTTCTGCAGGAAGCACTGGACATCACCCAAGGCTGTACTACTGCCAACAGCGGCCACAGCCACCCCACCCCTCTCTACCCCCCGCAGCACTCTGTGCTCCCGCGGCCGGGCCCTACCTGAGGCTGGAGACGCCCGTGCCGTGGGGGCCGGCGTGCCGCTCTGAGCACGGGCGGTGGTGGCCCGGGGAGGGGACACGTCAGCCGGAGCGGCGTGGGTGCTCCGGGGAGCGGGGGACGTCCTGAGGACAGGGGAGGCCGGGCCGCCCGTGGTCAGCACCGTCGCTGCTGTGGGTGCGCTGGTCAGGGCGCTCCCTGGGGTGGTGCCAGCGACAGGCCCTCGGCTCCTCTGTGTGGTGACGGCGGCTCCCGTGGGGACCCGCGGCGCTGGGGTGTCCGGGCTGGTCGGCAGGAGCGGCTCCCCAGCTGCGGTCTGCCCTGCGGTGGGGCCGGCCACCGGGGTGGCCGTGCTTGACGAGGGGTCTGGGGTGGGCACGGGGGGAGGGGGCGCCTTGGGCGTGGTGGCTGTCCACGCCGGAGGCGTCCGGGCCACCCTGGTGCTCGTGGCCGGGAGGGTGGGCTCCGTGGAGGACTCCGGTAAAGCGGGGGCCCCGGGGACCCCCGAGGCGGAGCTCGCCGTGTCAGCTCCGGCGGCCTCTGTGGGCAGAGACTCCCAGCGCGGGGGCGTGGACGCCGCGGCCGCGTGTTCGTGGTGTGGGTTGCTCTGGTTCTTAGGCTCTGCCGTTTGGCCGTGGGAGAGCACGGCCACGGGCGATGTCACGGTCGCCGGCCGAACTGCGGTCACGGGCGTGTCCCTGGCCCTGGGCAGGGCCAGCGTCAGAGAGGACGGCGAGAGGGTTGCCTGGGACACGGACACTGTGACGGGGGCCGGGACCGTCAGGGATGCCGGCGAAGGGGGCGGCGAGGAGGGCAGAGGCGTGGGCGCGTCGGGGGTGGCCTCCAGCGGGTGGGCGGAGGCTCTGGAGGAGGAGGAGGTGGAGGAGGAGGAGGAGGAGGAAGAGGAGGAGGAGGAGGAGGAGGACCGGTGGGGCTGTGACACTGAGGGCGGGGGCAGAGGCGGCCCCGACGAAGGAGGCGCGTCGCTGTCCCGTCCGGTGCGTGTGCCCGGAAGGTCCCAGGAACGTGATGTGTTCGTGGCGGGCGTGTAGGGCGGGGGGTGGGCTGTGTGCAGACTCAGGGACTCGGTGGCAGGGCGAGCACCCGCCCCTCCCCCTTGGAAGGATGAGGTGTTCCTTCTTTCCGTCTGCCCCTGAGGAGGGGAAGGAGCAGCATCTGAAGAGTTTGAGATCTTGGCGGCCGCGGTGGACCTCTCCCCGGCGTCCGGGGCGGAGCTGTTGTCGGTGATGGACAGCAGAGCGCGCTCCCCTTTGGTGAAGGTGGAGGAGACGTAGGTGTGGTCGGGGTGGTGGCTGGAGGGCCCCCCCTCAGGGTCCGTGCCAATCGCCGGATGGTAGATAATCCCAGTGACTGCCAAGGGGAAAACCAGAGTTAGGCCAACTAAGCCAACAGGCAACCCCCCGGACTCCCGCAGAGGGCAGACTGAGGAGCGTCCTCTCCACAAACTTCCTTTGGAGACGGATTTGCAGCGGTGAGCTCTCCAGAGACACCCACCGGGAGGCAGGCAGGGCCCGTGTCCCGGGCCAGGTTCACCTCCGGTGAGGAACGCGGTGGCAGCAAAGGAAACGGTAACAAAGGAGAAGTGGGGCCGGGGCCCAAAGCATAGGGACCGGCCCAAATTCCTTCCACAGGCCTTTCTCAATAAAAAAAAAAAAAAAAAGCAAACTGGTATCTTCAACGCTCTTAAGACCCCAAATAGAACAATGGTTATGCCTACATGGAAAAAGGAAAACCCTCCCAACTTTCCATGCTGAAGAGCGAGAGGTTTCTTTCCCAGGAGATTGGTCCTAGCCGTAAGGTGACCAGATGTCCCGCTTTTTAACAATCTGTCCTGCAGCGTTTTAAAGAAGTGCCCCCACCCCAAAAAAAAAACAAAAACAAAAAAAAACGGGACTTCTTTACAACGCCGTGGGACGCGGGACAAACTGTTGAAAAGCGGGACTGTCCCGCCAAAAGCAGGACGCCTGGTCACCTAGCCAAAAAGGGCCGTTCTCTCCTATTGAAGCATCCTGGCAGACGCCACTGGCAAAGGCCTTCGGTACGTGGGGGGCGGGCCGAGGCGGGAGGCGGGAGAACCCAGAAAGTCCTCCCCCTAAAGAGCTTGTCAGATGCTTGGGGTGGATGCGAACTTAGTCATCCTGGGACCGTGAGCAAGCTGAGTGAGGAGCTCCAGGAGCGTGGAAAGAGACCCAGCCCCCCCCCTCCCCCCCGAGAGCCTTACCAGCCGCGGTCACATTCCCCTGCGGAGTGGCGCTCTCTGCCTCCCGGGGTGCCGCCTGGGAGCGCCCCGCGTCCCCGGAGGAAGTCCGGTTGGTGACGGATCGCAGCGTGCGCTCCCCGTTGCCAGTGAAAGTGGCTGACGTGTGGGGGCTGTGGGCGCGGGCTCTGGGGGTTCCCTCGGACCCCTCCTGCGTGTCGGCACCAATTCCCAGCTCGGGACTATCTTCCGTGGCTACAAGGAGAGGGAAGAGGGGAAGACAAATAGCACAGGATTTCACTCCTACGTGGAATCGAATAAACGAAATGAACTAACTGCAAAATAGAGACAGATATAGACAGAGAGCAGGCTGACAGCCGTGGGGAAATGGAAGGGTGCTGCATTGAAAAGAACTCATGGTCACGAACAGCACTGCGGGGATTGCCGATTGCCCGGAGGAAGGGGAGAGGGGGGAGGTGAAGAAGGGCATAGGGAAGATAAATGGTGACAAGCGGACGGATGGATGTTTGGATGGATGGACAGAGATGTTGGCTTGGGGTGAGGAACACACAGTACAGTGTACAGATGATGTGTTGTGAAATTGTGCGCCTGGAACCTGTATACTTTTGTTAATCAGTGCCACCCCAGTGAATTCAATAAAGAGGAAAATGAAAAAAGAAGATTGAGAAGGGGATGACGGGTCAGTGCAGGGGGTCAGGAGTCAATGCAGGGGAGACAAGAATGGCTTGGACTCGGGTCTCAGGAGTAAGCCTGGCTTCCCGGACTGCGTGAGCCCGAATGCTCCCCCGGGTTTCCTCAGGGCATTTATCTGAGTGGCCAGGCATGTGGGGTTCCTGCAGGCGCCTGTGGGTGATGGACACACGGGGGGCGCTGCGGGTCAGCATGGGCAGGGGACCCGGACTCGTGGGAAGGTTTAGTACTCAGGTAAACAGGAGCAACATGGTGTTTGCTGGGCGACACATAATAAACAGCTTCTGTCAGGGACATCGGTGATGGCTGCGGGGGAGGTGAAGAGTGGGCAAAAGGCTAACAACCCTCCTGGGGTTTCAGACATCCTGACGAGACCGAGCAGGGAGCCCACGTGACCCGGAAGGCTCTCACCTCCTGCAGGACCCGTGAGGCATGACCTGACACACGGCCTGTCCTTCTGTAGAGTTCGTTCTTGTGATCAGAGGTTAAAGGCAGGCTTGGGGCGTGTGTGTGTGTGTGTGTGTGTGTGTGTGTGTGTGTGTGTTTTGGATGCATTTGTTTTATTTTCTTGGTGGGGATGGAACAGGAACAGGTGGCTCGTGAATACATATCCATTTCTTCCCTTTTTGGGTATGAAAGTGAGGCTCTGTTTCCCTTGGCCTAAATACTTCATAAGCTGGTTCTATGGGAGAAAGCAGGCTCTTCTTCTGGTTCTTATTCCTATTCCCAGACCAGACTAGCTGTTGCTGCCCCATGGGCACACCTTGATGGAAAATGAAGGTGAAGCTGAGGGTTAGGTGAGTTCACCTCCTGAGAGACGGGAGTGAGGGGGACCGGGATGCACGGGGGCCCAGAGCAGCACCCAGGAGCCAGGAACCAGGGGAGGAGGTCACCTGACTCGGGCTGAAGAGCTTAGGTTAAGGTGACCAGACGTCCCACTTTTGGCGGGACAGTCCCGATTTTTAACAATTTGTCCCGCGTCCCGCGGCGTTTTAAAAAAGTCCAAAAGATTTAAAAGAATCTTTCCACAAATCAGGACTTTGTAAAAACAGGACGCAGGACAAAGTGTTAAAAATCAGGACTGTCCCGCCAAAAGTGTGATGTCTGGTCACCTTTAGCTTAGGGGACCTGTGGAAAACGCGCCAGGGGAGGCTGGAGTGCTGAGCGGATTGGAGCACAAGTTCCCTAGGTAAGGAGGACAGGGCCTGGGGTGGGGAGACCGAGAAGACCTGCTGGACAAACTTCAGGCAAACAGCCCCATCAGGCTGACGGACACCCCCCCTGGAGTCATGACCTGGAACAGGGGCGCCAACTGAATCCAGAAAAGAAGTTAGGGAACTCTGAAAGGCTGGCTGGCAGGGTCAGCTCTGGGCGATCGAAGGAAGCGAGATAAAGCACCGTGCCAGCCGCAGCAGAGCAGTTTTGGGAACGGGGATATTCCTTGTCCAGCACAACGTTACAATCCAACCCCGAGACCTGCTCTACTGCCTACGAGAAGCCACAGAGCATGCGCGGCAGAGCCAAGGGTCCTGAAGGGAAGGGGGAGGAGAGGCTGCAGAACCTCGGCTCCTGGTTTGGAGGGCGACAAGTCTGAGCCCCACAATGGTTGGTGAGGGTGGAAAAGGATCCCTGGGTTTAGGAGACAGAGATTGCATTTTCCATGCACAGGCACACAAGGGCGCACGGGTATCCTCCACCCAGATGTGTTTTTCTCACATCACATCACATGAATAGTGATCACAGGCTAATTTTCCTCGTCAATTAGGATGGGGCAAATGAAGACATTTTTTTAATTATTATTGGTGCTGAGGAGGTACGAATCTAAACCTATTATAAATTTAAATGATAAGTTAATGCATTTTTGCTTTAGTCAGCATAACAATTCACATGGATAAGGCTGCTGATAATAGTTTTGTGTTTTTTTTTTTTTTTTTTAATTGCCCGAAAACATTATTAGGAAGGAAAATGAAAAGTTTTGTCAAATTGATAAATTGGACTTCACCAAAATTCAGAACTGCTGTGCTTGCAAATAAATAAATGCCATCGGAAGTGAGATGATGGCCCGGGAACTGGAGGAAATGCCTGCAAATCACGCATCTGAGAAGGGACAGAACACACAAAGAACTCCTCCACCCCCAAAAAGGGCAAAGAAGCCCATTTAAAAATAGCCAAGAGATCTGAGTGCACATTTCCAAAGAAGAGGCAAATGGCCAATGAGCACATGAAAAGACCCTCAGCTGGAAAATGTAGGTTAAACCCACGAGATACCACAGCATGCCCATCAGGATGGTGATAGTTAAAAAAAAAAAAAAAGGTGGACTCTAATAAGTGTTGGTAAAGATGCTAAGCAATGGGAAGGAACCCTTGCAAACTGCTGGTGGTAAGATGTAGAAAAGAGATGGACAGTTCTCCTAAAGGTTAAAAATAGTTACTATTTAACCCACAACCCAAGAGAATTGAAAACACAAGTCCACACAAAAACTAGCACTACCGTGTTTCCCCGAAAATAAAACATCCTCCGAAAATAAGACCTACTTACAGGTTTCCTTCTGAATGAAATATAAGGCATCCCCCCCGAAAATAAGCCCCCCCCCTTCCCCCAGGAGTCACAGGAAATTCAGGAATTGGATTGTTATGATGATGTTGCAGAAGATGATGATGACACGATTGTCATTGAATAAATGAGTAAATTCTTGATACTGTAGGATTCACAGTTTGTCTGGTTTGTGTTGACAACTACCATACCGTATACAGGTAATAAATTTCCTTTATTTTCATTTAACAATAAATGTGTACTGTATTCTTCATGGAAAAATAAGACATCCCTGAAAATAAGACCTAGCACATCTTTGGGAGCAAAAATTAATATAAGACACTGTCTTATTTTGGGGGAAACAAGGTAGGATGTTCACAACAGTTATAATTCATAACAAAAGATTATGAATATAACAAATTCAAAAGATTAAAAAAAAAAAACAACCTACACATCTATCAACTGATAAAAAGGTAAACAAAAGGTGATACATCCATCCAGAGGACTATTATTTAGCCATAAAAAGGAATGGAGTGCTGATACAGATGGACCTTGAAAAACATTATGCTGAGTGAAAAACACAAAGGCTTCAGATCATATGATTCCATGATTCCATTTGTAGAAAATGTCTAGACTAGAAAAACCCATGGAGACAAAAAAAAAAACAACAAAAAAAAACAACTTCGTGGTTGCCAGAGGCTGAAAGGAGGAGAGGATGGGAGGTGACCTCTGACACCGGGCTCCTTTGTGAGGTGATGGAAAACCTTCTGGAAGCAGATAGTAGTGGTGGTTCCGTAACTTCGTACGTACACTGACAGCTACTGAACTGAACACTTTAAATGGAAAATTGTATAGGATGTGAAGGACATCTCACTAAATCGACTACAAAAGAGAGTCTCCCTTGAATGAGTGCCTGGACCGGGGATGAACGGTGGGCCTGAGGCAGGTAGGAGGGAGTGAGGTGGGCTACAGGCAGTGGAAGGATGTGGACAGGGAGGTCCCTGGGCTCTCTGTGGGAGGGGCAGGGGGCAACAGCAACTCTGCAGAGAGGTACCAGAAGAAGTTGGGGGGCATGCAGGTCTGTCTATATTCACCAGCTGGGAGAGTGGCCAGGGACCACGGACACTAGAGCAGCCTGTGGAGCTTCTCCTTAACCCGTGGCCTTGCTGTGCTGCAGGAGACCACAGGCCGGGCCAGCCCTGTCCCCCTCCACGGGGCCCGATGTATGCAGGGGGACTCACTTGAGCGTTCGCCGCGTGGAGCCAAGGACTCCAGGCTCTCTGAGGAGGAGGAAGACGAAGACTCGGTAGCCAGCTCGGCGTCGCTCCCTGCCCCCAGCGCGCTGTCACTTCCTCCAGGCTGTGGGGCAGAGGCTGAGAACTGGGTCAGAACGGAAGAGTTCACCACTCCAGGGTAGGAAGTGGAGCTTCCTGTCACATCTTCAAATGCCTTGCTGTTGGTCAACATCCAGTGCGCAGTGCTCTCTCCGGCTCCACCCAACGGGACTGGCCCAGACACAGACTCCGTCCGAGACGCGGGGCTCCCGTTCCTCTTGTCAGAGCCACTGGCCTGCGGGGGTCCTTCCGAGACTGCAGGGGGTCAGGGGAAATGCCGTTACATGGACGTGACAGGAGACCCCTCCACCCCTCCACCTGGAGGAAGGTTCCCTTAAGGATGACCTTGCATAGAATTTATTACATGTGTAACCTGACATGCATTTTCATATTCTAAATAAACAATTCAAAACTCTTCAGTGTCAATAAGATAGCAATACTCAAAATAAACGTTGGTGAAGAGGGGAGCTTTTAACCTGCATGTGCCAAGCAGCAGAAGAGCCAGTGGGCTTGAGTACTATATTCTCTTTCCCTAAAGCGGGTCAAGGGAGAGAGGAAGTTATGGCCAATAAATACAACACACCTCAATACAAGGCTCGGGCGGAACCACCATTTTCCTAAACCAGTCCTATTATTCATACAGGTTTTTCTAATTTTGCTGTAGGAATTTGGGGAATATATTTACACTGAGTGGCCAGATTATTATGCTCTCTGAATGCATAATAATCTGGCTACTCGGTGTATATCTCATATAATAAAAGGCTAATATGGAAATTGTTCCCTTGACCAGGAGTTCGGCCAGCAGGCAGACCAGCCAACCGCCCCTGTCCCCTCCCCCTGGCCAGGCTGGCCGGACCCCACCTATGCACAAATTATATACACACATACACTGAGTGGCCAGATGATTATGCATTCAGAGATGATAATAATCTGGCCACTCCGTGTGTATCTGCACGGTGTAGTCCTGACAATGATCTATAAAGTAACTAAAACTAGTTTTAAAGAGGCAGCTCTCCCTTTGGAGACAATGCTGCAATGACAAGACCCACTCAGCAGCGAAGGGTCCAAGGCTGAGGTCACAGCTCTGCCTAAACCCCTGACCCTTGGTTTTGCCATCTACAGAAAAGCAGGAGGAACGCCTGCTGGGTGCACTTCACACTGTTCCATAAGGATGCAAATCCAAGTGTGATAATGTGATATACTGGAGAAGAGATGGTGCCATAGAGGGACATGCTTTTTCTTAGAGACTGAAAATGGTCTGGAAGCCATCCCTTAAGAAAATCCAACAATGAATTTTTCTTTAATCATCACCCAAGGTTATCTTTCCATCGATTTCACAGAGAGGAGAAGGAGGATGGGGACGGGGGCGGGAGTGGGGGGGGGGGGAGAGGGAGAGAGAGAGAGAGAGAGAGAGAGAGAGAGAGAGAGAAGGAAGAGGAACATGGATTGGTTTCCTGCCGTACACTTCCCTAGATATCTGCCCTGACCAGAAATTGAACTCAAACCTTTTGGTGATGGGTGATGTGCCAACAATTTCTAAATGTTTATAATAGATCAAGCAAAATTGAATACTTACCTGGGGAATCATTTTGCCACAATCCCGCTGAGACCTCAGAAGCTGTGAGGCCAAATCCATTCTCCGTGGAGGCCTCCCTGAATGTCCCGTCCCCCAGCCTCCCGCTCATTCCGGTGTTTCTCCTCAGTTCTGCCACGGCCGGTGAGGAATGAGCTGATGCTGACGTGGGGGCGGCTTCCGCATCCTCAGAGAAACCTTCTGTGTCGCTCAGCTGTCCCGCACTGACAGCTAAAGACGGGGTCCCCCTGGGGACACCATTGGGGAAGATGGTGGCAACCTGCACACTCTTTGCCCAGCTGACCGAGGGGCTTTGAGGAGCAGCGGAGTGGTTTAGCTCGTCCATACTTCCAGAAGCTAAAATGGAGAAAGAAAAAAAAAGCTTCAAGACTCCTGGGGGGCGGGGAGGGTGTGTGTGTGTGTGTGTGTGTGTGTGAGAGAGAGAGAGAGAGAGAGAGAGAGAGAGAGAAATCAGGGCTATACCTAGATACTAGATACAAATAATGTCTGCTACATTTTGGTAGATAAATCTAGATCATGTGGACCTGATAGAGATAAACACTTTTTTTTTTTTTTTTTTTACAGAGAGGAAGGGAGAGGGATAGAGAGTTAGAAACATTGATGAGAGAGAAAGATCAATCAGCTGCCTCCTGCACACCTCCTACTGGGGATATGCCAGCAACCAAGGTGCATGCTCTTGACCAGAATCGAACCTGGGACCTTTGAGTCCGAAGGCCGATGCTCTATCCATGAGCCAAACTGGTTTTGGCAGATAAACACATTTTTTGTTGTTGTTAATCCTCACTGGAGAATATTCCACCCCTCCCTCTATTGATTTTAGAGAGTAGAAGGCAGGGGAAGAGATGAGAGAGAGAGAGAGAGAGAGAGAGAGAGAGAGAGAGAGAGAGAGAGAGAGAGAGAGAGAGAGAAAGAGAGAGAGAGAGAGAGAGAGAGACACAGAGACACAGACACACACTGATGTGAGAGAACCACATCAATTCGTTGCCTCCCCAATGAACCCCAATCGGGGCGAGGAACCTGCCACCCAGGTATGAGCCCTTGATCGAAATTGAACATGGGAACCTTGGTGCATGGGTCGGCGCTCTAACCACTGAGCCCCCGGCCAGGGCTGCCTTGGCTTCTACACAGGAAGAAATGAGTACTCTGGAATTCACCTTATAACTTACACAGGCCAGTGTGGTAAAGTACAGGTTTTTGCTTGCTTATGTTAGCAGCTGTAACCTTACGGTTAAATGCCATTATCGAAGATACCCCATACATAAAAATGAATGCAATGGGCCGTTCGGGCACTCAGCTCCCTCACCACTGAGGGGGCCTCAGGCTCTGCCCAGCGGGAACCCCACCCAGAACAATTCGCAGCCCGTCACCATCACCACTGAGGGTTCACTATTACGTCTCCCCTCAGGGCAACCGTGAATCTTATGGTTTGAAAGAGGATGGGCTGAAATGCATTTATTAAGTAGGAGCGTTTCTAACCAGCGGGAGACCGTTCTTGTCACCCCACTGATGTGATTTAATTCCGGCCCAGAGCAAACAGGCTCCATTCTCGTACGTCACCTCTTCAGGCTCCGGAGGCAGCCCTCACGTTTACCTTCTACAAGGTTCCCTAGGAGACCACGGACTCCAGGCTGGGGAACGGGTTTTCTGATGAGCCCCTGGCAGAGACGGGGTTAATCATCAGGAGCCTCTGAGAACTGAATTATGCACCATCGTCCCCATCGCACTGTCTGCCCAGGTCACTTGCTTACAAAGAACTTTCCGAAGGGCACCCGGGCACAGACCTCAGGGGGCATGCCGAAAGCCTCACCCCACACAGGAGCAGGCTGCAGGAAAGGCTGGCGAGTGGGAAGAAGCATGCAGGCGAGATTCAAAGGCAAGAAAAAAAAAAAGAGGGTCGTTGTTCTTTTTCAACCAAAAATCATGAAAAGGACTCTATACCTAATAATGAAAGGTTTCAAGCTGTTAATTAGGACCCAGGAAAGGAAAAAGAAAGTTCTCATGTTTAATGTTTCCACGAAGGCCAGTCCTATGTGCAGTTCTGACCAAAAGCGCAAATAAGTATTAAGTATAACCAGAAAGAGGCTAGAAACGCAAAGCTTCCTCGTACTCGCGCACAAACCATAGCCCAGCTGTGCTTACCACCCAGCCCACGCTTGGCAGCTCCGGCCACCGGCCCTGTATGGAGACAAAATGAAGATGCAGGCAATCCATACAACTACGCTGTTTCCCTGAAAATAAGACAGCGTCTTATATTAATTTTTGCTCCCAAAGATGTGCTAGGTCTTATTTTCAGGGGATGTCTTATTTTTCCATGAAGAAGAATACGATACACATGTATTGTTAAATGGAAATGAAGGAAATTTATTACCTGTATACGGTGCGGTAGTACGGTAGTTGTCAACACAAACCAGACAAACTGTGAATCCTACAGTATCAAGAATTTACTCATTTATTCAATGACAATCATGTCATCATCTTCTGCAATATCATCACAACAATCCAATTCCTGAATTTCCTGGTGAATTTCTTGTGACTCCATTTCTTTCAGAATCAGTGGACCAATCCCTCATGTTTAGCCTAGGGGGGCCTTATTTTTGGGGGGATGCTTTATATTTCATTCAGAAGGAAACCTGTAAGTAGGTCCTATTTTCGGAGGATGTCTTATTTTCGGGGAAACACGGTAATAATGAAAACAAGGGAAAAGAAGGAGCCAGGCACAAACACAGAGTCCCAGCTTACCTACGTCCACCTCTGCTTAGAACAAAAACTCCTCAGACGAACACAAGGAAAGCACACTGAGGATCGCTACTTCCCAAATCCTCCCTCAACCCCTGAGCCCCTCAGGCCTCCCTTCATGACAGCTATCATCTACATCCACCGAGTTAGCCCCCACCCGGGCATGTGCTTCTGACTGGAGCCAAGCCCTGGACCTTTAAATCCAAAGGAGGACGTGCTAACCACAGAGACAAACCAGCGAGGGTGCCTAGGCCTCTTATGGGGAGGTGTGGGGCACACTGATGCCAGCGGCTGCTTGTGTTAGGAGACTTTAGGTAAGTCTGAAGTCTGAGCCAGGACAGGCCATTCATGTGGAAAAGGAGCTGCCAACAGCTTGGGTGTGGGTGCAGACTGGATGGCCTTGGGGAATCGTCCTAGTGTAGTGAACACGGAGCCACCCTTATGGGAACTCAGACAGGGCTGCCAGTCCGCTCTGCCAAGGGAGGGGGTCCCAGCCCAGAAACAAAGACTCTTACAAGCACCTCTGTCTGAGGGAAAGCCACGCCCGAGTTCCTGTCCTCACATTAGACTTTCTCCTCTGAACCAATGCTGCTGCCCAGCACAGGAGCTCAAGGTGCCAGCCCTTTAAGACGGACTGCCTGGGTCTCCAGCAGCCTCCATGTCACTCAGCCATAACCCCTGCTGGTTTTTACTGTCTGAAATTACAGGGACTTCTACTCCCGGCTCTAGGGGACTGGTGTGGGCCTGGGACCCCCTGCTTCTCACAGGAGGCCTCCGCAGTGGAGATATGCCCCCTCCACCCCCCCACCCCCCCGCTCCAATGCCACACATGGGTGTCAGACCAGCCTGGTCTACCCCTCTGCCCCTCAAAATAAATAAATAAATAAATAAATAAATAAATAAATAAATAAATAAATAAATAAATAAGCCCACCAAGTTGCAGCCTCCTTGGGTTGCCAGGTGCTCTCCCGAGGCACTTCCATTCCCAGGAAACTTTATTATTTTGTCAATTCAACGTGCAGCAGTGGTTACACTGGACTGGGCGTGACTGCCTGTCCAGCGAAGCCACGGACAGAAACACAATGACAACAGGCACCGATGCCGACGGTCACAACAGGGAAGTGGCCGTGTTCTCCCTGACCCCGAGGGCTCTGTGGAGCATCTGTTTCGCCCACTCGTTATCGTCATCGTGAAAAGCTGCCACGGACTGACCACGGCGGCGTGCCAGGACTGTGTGTGCACCTTTATGCACTGTGCCAAGGAAGCACTTCAAATGCCGTGCCATGTAACCTCACAGGCCCTCTCGGTTCCAGCTCTGAAGCAGTGCGAAGGCTTCCTCGACGAGCTGCCTCTTACTGAAAAGACAACATGGTCGGTCACACTAATCGGCGGTCGCCCTCACACCGCTAACTGAGCGCCTGCACACAGGGGGGCATTTAGCGCGTTTCTAAGCCAACAGGCCAGCTCTAATGATGAGCTAGTAGCCACCTCTCCTTGTTCATGTCTACCCGTACAGCAGCCGTTCAAAAACGGGGAGACCAGCCAGGGGGGAGCAGAAACAAGCCCCGCTCCCTGACTCCGTACAGGAGGTGAAGAGAACACCTCCCCGCTGGCCACTGTGAGGGTCAGACTCCCCTCCCAGTACAAACACGGGGGCCTCAGGCCCGCACCAGAATGCTCACCCTAGGCCTGGCTGCTACCCAGAACCTGCCAACAATCCCGCGGAAGCAGCTCAGCTCTGAGAGACATGGACTACCTCCCTGTGACCTATTCTCTCTTTTTACAAAGTGGAATCACCACAAAGCAATTTACCTAGACCGCATTAGCTCAGCGCCCACAGAAATATTTCCATGAGTCGAGATCCATTATTACACCGGCAGCTCCAATCGAGGATCTATATAAAATACCGCCTTCTAAAGAACATTAGCACTATTTCTACAAAACAGCAATGGATGGCATGTTCTATTATGATTCTCAGCATTGCTTATATAAATATCCCTCTTAGAATGTACTGCCCCCAAAACACATATGCCCGCGGATGGAATTGTATGCTTACCTTATCAGACAACAATCTCATGCCCCGCCCGGTTTCCCTTTGTGCCCTGGTTTCCAGAAAGCTCGGCACTAAATTTAGTTGCTCCATTGTCGCTGCTCTCCCACAATTCAACACACACATATCTCTTTCCACCTTCCAAAGAGAAACTGTTTTTCCCTGACAGTTGCTTTACTTAGTTTTTCCCTTTCCCGTTTTCTCTTAGCCCAGCCTGCACCCCCTTCCAGTCCAGGAGCACTTTGGGGGATGGCCGACTGCTGTGGAGGCAATGAATGTTCCACCAGCCGAGTGGCACCCCTCTGTGGGAGCGCACTGACCACCAGGAGCAGCTCCGGCATTGAGCATCTGCCCCCTGGTGGTCAGTCAGTGCACATCATAGTGACCAGTAGTTCTGCTCCTGGATCGAAATTGGCTCTTGTGGACATCTCCCCAAGGGGGTCCCTGATTGCAAGAGGGCGCAGCCAGGCCGAGGGACCCTACCAGTGCACGATCGGGGCCCAGACAGATGCGAGAGGTTGGTCAGCCAGGATGGGACTGCAGGAGGGCTCCAGGGTGTGTCTGGCCTGACCCCAGCAACAAGCTAACCTACCAGTCGAAGCATCTGCCTCCTGGTGGTCAGTGCACATCATAGCAAGCAAGCGGCTGAACAGCCTTAGCATATCATTAGCATATTAAGCTTTGAAGGGCCAACCAGATGACCAGACACTTAATATATTAGGCTTTTATTACATAGGATAATATATGGTCATTATGGAAAGTATAGGAAGATATAAAGCAGGGGGAAAAAATGTAAAGCAGCAAGAAAAAATAATTTCAAATGGCTTCCCATCTCCTTTTCTAAATCTGACTTAGCCCTCTGGGCCTGCACCTGCTTTCATGCATCCGTTCATTACCAGATGACTTTTTGTGGGAAGCAAATGACTCCTGGCTCCCGAGCCTCAGAAGGGGGTGTGCCCATGCCTCCTTCTGCGCAGCAGAGTGCCCGGGGGGGGGGGGGGGGCCCACCGGGTGAAAAGGCTGGTGTGTTTGGAGTGACAGATGCTGAAACTGGAAAGAGTCTTCAGGATCATCTGCTCACATCCCTTCACGTTTCAAATAAGGAGCCCCATTCTCCCAGGGCGGGGCACCTGGTTGCCCCCCTTCTGCCCCCTTGCCGTGAGGAGCGCCACTCATCTGACCAGTGCAAGTGCCAGGGCCTCACTGAGCCACGTTTATTAGTGACTGGAGTGGCCAAGTGTCAAAAGACACACCTCTCCACCTCCCCTCCTCTTCACTTCCTCTTCACTTCTGTTCTACAGATCGGCTCCTGACAAGTCCCGCCAGCCCTCTCAGCACTCTTGCCCATCTGCCTGGAGCTTCTGGATCCTGTGGCCAGAAAGAGAGAGTAGAATCTCAAGCTGCACAAGCTGCAATGGGAGGGAGGAGGCACACCAGGGCTCTAGTTAGCCGGTGAGTGGGTACTAGCCTAAGGTGACCAGACGTCCCGCTTTTGGCGGGACCGTCCTGATTTTAAACAATTTGTCCCGTGTCCCTCAGTGTTTTAAAAAAGTCCCGATTTTTGGAAAGAATCTTTTAAATCTTTTGGACTTTTTTAAAACGCTGCAGGACGTGGGACAAATTGTTAAAAATCAGGACTGTATGGTCACCTTATTAACTAGCCCCGCCTGAAAAGTGAAGCAGAACTTTGTTCCCCAGCTGGCTTTAGGTCCCTGGGCCTGTCCCCCCTGCACGCCCCACAGGGAGGAGAGGAGGCTGGCAGCTGGATTCAGACTTCCTGGGGCCTGGCGACCCCCTCATTTAATAGCAGCAGTTTCCCCTTCAGCATCTGAGAAGGAGGTGGGACTCGACCCTGCACAGAACGCCCAGTTCTCGGAGAAGGAAGAGAAATGCCCCGTGAAGGACCTGAGCACTGGAGAGACAGGGCACTACTCTTTGAAGTGAGGTGCACAAGGTTCCAGAAGGAATCGGAAGAGCAAGCATTATTTTTTTAATGTGGAAGAATTACAGGGGACCACAGAGTCAAGGGCAGTCACGTTAGAAACACCAGCTGATTTTCTGCTACACCACAGTCATGGCTGAATTTCACTTATAAATAGTAAATGGCCCCGATCAGAGCCCAAGTGTGGCTTCTCCAAAAATGCTTCCTTCCCGCCGTTTAGTGGCTCTGGCTGTGAATCCCTGAACCACAGGGCTCTGGCGCTGGGAAGGGCTGCAGCTTTCACCTGATCTCACCGGCGTTTGAGGACGATCTTAAAAAGCAATCTCTGAGAGACACAGATCATCAATCACACACGTCCCGGCGGGCAGGAAGCGGGCTCCGGAGCCCACGGGGCAGGAAGCGGCTTTAAATAGCATCACAGAGAGGACCTCGGGACTCGGCTTTCACTGGATGACATCAACCCAAACCCCTCGTCTGCCAAAGCACTTCTCACAACCTCTGACCCCCACAGGTTCTGAAGTGGCGAGTTCTAGAGCAGCCTGACTTCTCTTTCCCAGGAACACCTGCAGCCCTCTCCGCCCTGCTCCCAGGGCACAGGGGTCACAGCGCCTGTGGCTGCAGTGTGCCCCACGTCGGCGCAAAACCTCCGGGACAAGCAGAGGTGGGCCGTTCCCAACGTCCTCATTGGCCCAGGTCTGGGTGGTACTTGGGAGTATGCTGCTTCCATGACATTGCCCATACCTGCTCCGGGCAGCGGGGCACCTAAGAGAAGCACAGACACCGCCAATGTGCTCAAGAGGATTGTGAGCCATCGGGGCAGACAGGCATTCGATAGATAACCTAGCTTGACAAGGTACGTGACACAGGGTGGGGGGCTGAAGAAAGGCTTCGTGGAGACGGGGACATCTGAGCGAGACTGAACTGATGAGGAATTGAAATGGCAGGAAGGTGAGTACTCCACCTCTGCAGCCTTGCAAACACCTGCGTTGTATGGTTAAAAAAATAAAAATGATTCTAGAGACAAATGCTAGGGGAGGAGGAGGAGTTAGAGAGCAAGCAAAGGACTTGTATGCATGCATATTAGCATAACCAATGGATACAGACACTGGGTCGGTGGGGGCTTGCCCGGGCTGGGAAGGGAGGAGGCTAATTGGGGAAAAAGGAGACATATGTAAAACTTCAGACGATAAAAAAATAAATTTTAAAAAATGATGCCCAACCTGGCCAGTGTGGCTCAGTGATTGAGTATTGACACATGAACCAGGAGGTCACAGTTCGATTCCTGGTCAGGGCACATGCCAGGTTGTGGGCTCAATCCCCAGTAGGGGGCGTGCAGGAGGCAGCCCATCAATGATTCTCTCTCATCACTGATGTTTCTATCTCTCTTTCCCTTCCTCTCTTTGAAATCAATAAAAACATATTTTTTAACTGATGCCTAGAAAAATGCATATCTGTGATCTTTGCGACAGTGAAAAACAACAAATCTAACTCCCAATCAAATGACACAATGCTCACCACTTCATTCATGCCGGCATGTGGCCTTCTGTGCAAGAATTCACACCAGCAACACTTAGACTTTGCTATGGATGTATGTATAGGTATGCATGTATGTGTATGTGTATGTGTATGTATGTGTGTGTGTGGGGGGGAAGCAGGGGCTGGTGGACAGAAAGGCCTAGAACAGCCACCATACCAGCTATTTTCCTCCTTAAAGAAAACATATTTTAAAGATGAACTTCAACCGAAATCGGTTTGGCTCAGTGGATAGAGCGTCAGCCTGTGGACTGATAGGTCCAGTTTTGATTCCGGTCAAGGGCATGTACCTTGGTTGCGGGCACATCCCCAGTAGGGGATGTGCAGGAGGCGGCTGATCAATGATTCTCTCTCATCGATGTTTCTAGCTCTCTATCCCTCTCTCTTCCTCTCTGTAAAAAAAATCAATAAAAATATATATTTTTTAAAAAAGATGAACTTCAATACTGAGATCAATTGTGTGGGTTGTACTTCTACCCCAAATACTTTGCGTTTTGTGCTTAATGTCTGTTCCCCTCGGTCCCTGTGACAAGCAAGTCTGGCTATGCACGTCTACTTACTTCTATTCTGAATACCTTCCACGTCATTCAGAGAGGTTGGCCAGCCGGGGAGGGGCCGCGGGAGGGCTCCAGGATGTGTCTAGCCCATCTTACTCAGCCTCAATCGGCCTGACCCCAGCAGCAAGCTAACTTACAGGTCGCAGCATCTGCTTCCTTGTGGTCAGTGCACATTATAGCGAGCGGTTGAACAGCCTTAGCATATCATTAGCATATTACGCTTTGATTGGTTGAAGAGCCAACCGGACGACCAGACACTTAATATATTAGGCTTTTATTCTATAGGATAATATAATAAGCGGGATGGGGACGGGTGCTCACCTGCAGAGAGACCTGAGGGCGGGGAGGAAGCCCAGGTCCTGGAGGAAAGCAGCCAGGAGAGCTCTGGCTCTGAGGAATTCCCCTTCCTGGAGAGTGAGGCCTCTTCTCCCGTCTCCACGGCAGGACGAGAGGCCTGGCTCAGAACTGAAGTGGCCACTTGGGTCTGCGCGGTCACTTCTTCGGGGAGCCCCTTCTCCCTCGCCAGGGAACCCCAAGAGGTTCTGCTCTCTGGGTGAGAAGGGGCACTTCCTCCTTCCGACCCTGGACTGCTGGCTGGCAGGGGAAGCCTTCCCAAGGCTGAAAGCAAACAGCAACAATGATGTCCCACCAGCAGACCTCCCGGTCGGAGCCTGGTCCCCCAGACTCCAGGTTCCCTTCAACCCATCTCCCTCCCCAGACTCTTATACCGCCTGCCAGGTGACTCCTCCCCAGTTCACTTCAGTCATGTCACTGTCTGGATCAAGAACTCTGGCTACTACAGCAAACCTTTTTTTTTTTTTTTTAATATATTTTATTGATTTTTTACAGAGAGGAAGGGAGAGATAGTTAGAAACATTGATGTGAGAGAGTCATCAATCCGCTGCCTCCTGCACGACTCTCCCTACTGGGGACGCGCCCACAACCAAGGTACGTGCCCTTGACCGGAATCAAACCCGGGACCCTTCAGTCCACAGGCCGACGATCCACTGAGCCAAACCGGTTTCGGCAACTACAGCAAATCTTAACTGCAGCCTTTTAAAGTCCTCTACAATCGTCCCCAACCCCACCCCCAACCACCCCCCCGCAGCTCCTCTCCTCTGGGACTCCCGCCTCCAGCGAGGGAGGGTGCTGGCTCCGCAGCCCCACCAAGAGCCCACGCTCCTCTTCCCCTGTAGCCTCCCTCACGCGGTCCAGGCGCCCACCCCTCTGCTGCTCTGGCATCTCCCTCAGATACACAGACTGAGGCTCAGGTCCCGGCTCTGAAACCTATCAGCTGTTTGACCTACTACACCCATTCGATGGGCTGACTTCTCTGAGCTTCCGTTTCCAAATTCCAACGCGGAGGATAACGTGAGGACTGAGACCAGACAGGCTGTGTGTGTGTCGCAGGGACATAATCAGCGCTCATTTTCTGGCTTTCCTTCCTCAATCAAATCTTGTTCATCTAGCCCCGGCCTCTTCTGAAAGCCTTTGCTAAAAACAGCAAACTGCCAGCTGTGCAGACTGGAGCAGGAATCTATTTGAGCCACATCGACACACACACACACACACACATGCACGCACGCACGCACACAAACATGCACATGCAGCCACACATCCCACCACACGTGGTGCCTCTGATACTTGCAGCGTGTGGGCGGGAGGATCCCTGGGTGCTGTTTGCATTCAGACCAGCCCTGGGACGTAGACAGACTCTCTGGGACCGGACAGACTCTCAGCAAATCGGCACCCTGGTCTGGTTGATACTCCTAACTCAGTTCACCTCAGGGAGCCCAGGTACGGCCCAAGTCAGAGGGCGGATCCCCACCAGGACCCCGCGATGGTACCGAGGCCCAGGGAGGAGGGAGAAGACCGGCAGAAACCGTTTTCTAGGGCTCGGCCTACGTGAAGTGGGCGTCGTCAGCACACACTCACCTGAAGGGCTGCTCGGGGAAGGCAGAGCTGTTGCTCGCTCAGGCCCAGCAGGGGAAGTATTAGCCTTCGTTCTCCTCGAGGTGTGGTTTGTTCCTCCGGCACCTGCTGTTTCAGTATGCGGAGTGGGGTTTTCTAGAGCAGCTGAAGGAGCGTGACTCTGGACGGGGGTCTGAACCTTCACGCCCTCCTTGGAGGCCAATGTGGAAAAGCCCACTTGATTCTGATCCAAGGTGATGTTTCCTGTGTGGTTCCTTACAGCAGCTGAAACAAACAGAATATGGACCGGTGAGAACATGCTGGCTTCTGGAAGGAGAAAGGGACCTTCAGAAACCATGAGCAGCTTTGTCCGTAAGACGTGGATTCAAGGATAATATTTTCACCTCTCTTCTCCCCAGCCCCCCACCACCTACCCTTTACAGTCATTATTCTTATCATCAATCCAATGGGAGAAATTAGGAAGCAACAATAGTATATGGGGTTAGATTTTACAGCACGTGGAATGAATGATGAAAACAGAGAGACTCGGGGAAGAGGACTGGGGCCCTGCGGCTGGGCAGGCTCAGGGCGGGCATGGGACGCAGGTCAGGCGTGAGCTGAGGGAAGGCAGGTCTTCATGAGCACAGGGCTGTGAGTGTGCCTTCTCGATGGGAGTGGGTGACAGCTGGCAGCTCTTAATCCTACACCTACTCTTGTAGACAGGGGTGGGACATGCATCGTTCTGGGAAAGCATGTGAGGATTTGGCCATTTTACCAAAGTCTTAGTAATGTACATGGGTTAGATGCAGTAACTTCATGGGAATAGAGGAAGAAAAGAGAGGAGAGAGAGAGAGAGAGAGAGAGAGAGAGAGAGAGAGAGAGAGAGAGAGGGGGGGGAGGGTGAAAGGGAGGAAGAAAGAACCTAAAATTCCTATAGCAGATCAATTAAACCAGTTGCAGCATATCCATATGAAAGGATACATGAGGTCATTAAAAACTATGTTATAAAACAAAGATATTCTACAGGTACCATTGAGTTAAAACAACAGGCTTCAAAATAGAATCTAGAGTATGATCTTGTTTTGTTAAAATTAATAGTAAAGGGAATTGTGGGGTGTGTGTGTGTGTGTGTGTCAATCACTAATGTACATGCTTCACATGCACCCATTCATGTAGTCCTTGCACTTAGGGAGGTAGGTGCTTCCCCCACCCCCTTTTGCCGAAGTCACCAGGAAGCCAGCTGGAAGGTAAAGTGCTGGAGAGGAGGCGTGTCAGAGCCAATCCCCAGTTCTCGCTTACTTCCAGGTCAGAGGTGCTGAGGAAACGGTGCCTGTGAGGATGCACTATTGCGTGAAGTCTATAAATTAGGAATGCATATTAGAAAGCATTTTAAGTGATCGTTTACTCCCAAGAGGATTGCGAAGAGGTCCTTGGTTAACAATGCTGTGAGGACGAAGTTAACGTTGAGGGTAAAAGTGGGCACAGAGGAAATCGTCTTGTGGTGTCAAGGTCATTTATCAAGGAGAGAGGGCAGAGTCAGAGCAGGTGAGTGGACACCCAAGTCCAACCCGAGAAGGCGCGTCACAGATGTAACGTTACATTTTCTAGTCGCCACGTTTTAAAAAGTGAAAAGGGACAGGTGGAATTCATCTGGTTAAATATGTTATTTAACCTGACATCCAAAATAGTCCCACTGCAATATCTAATTGGCATAAAAATTGTTGCGATATCTGCCTTTTTTTTTTTAATTAAACTTTTAAAACCCAGCGAGTATATTTATGAGCCATGCTTTAAGAGCTCAACAGCCACAACAGCTACCACATTGGACAGTGCAATTCTAGATCCATCATCCTCAGCATTTCCCCACTCTGGACTATGCCCGCCGGGAGCAGTGGGGTTGGGAGGGTGGTGGACAGAAAAACTTCCATAAGAGATCCTGACAAACTTTCCTAAGGGAGGCATTTCCTCCCCGATCCCTTGAGATTGCTGTTTTCATGCTTCCTATTCTGTTTCCTGTAAGCGGCCATCAGCTGAAGCTTCCTGCAGAGGCGGGGACGCTGTCCGGGCATCTGTGCTCCTCTGGGGCCCAGCCCCCGACAGGCACAGCACCAAATCACCCAGAAATGCGACGTGGGGGGATGTTTCCAGGGACAGCTGCAAAGTCCCTAACTTGAACTGGACACTCAGGTTGTGAAGAGCAGTGACCCATCTGACCTGTTCCCTTCGTTCTTCCTGTCTGAGCTGCGGAGGCAACCTGGCCTCCCGAGAGGAGGGGAAAAGGTTTGAGGATGCTTTCTCCGTCCTCTTGGTACGACGAGAGGCGTTATTCTCAAAGACCAGGAAACACGTGATTACGGGAAGATAGAAGGGACTCAAAACCCATGCCCCAAAGCGGGCAAGCCACGAGCAAAGATAAGGAAATGAATTTAGCTGGATTATACCCTGAGAGGAACGTGAGAGACTTATGCAGCTGGGCCTCCAAGGAGGCAGCACTGCCCCCTTCTTTAGGGGTAAGGAGTGGACGTCCCAGACGCCAGACAAGTGAAGGAACTCCACTGCAGCCTCCAGAAGGGAAAGAGTGGCCACAGGAAACAGGACATGGCTGGCATGGAAACACTCTCCCTGGAAGAAGAAAAAAATGCACACTATAAACAAAACTAAAAGATAGACAGATGATAGTCCTGAGGTTCCCAAATAACCCTGCCACTAAATACAAAGTGCTGAATAAAGTATTTTTTAAAATATATCTGAATGTATTGTTGCATTGACAGGAATTTAATCTTCTGAGGTCAAAAATGAAGCAAGAACTGAAATTCATGGGGGCCTCAGAGGGGGAGGTAAGTTAATTCTGAAGCTGGCAGCTTCCCTGAGGCACCTGCTCAACATTTGCGACCTTGAAATTCTGCTCTGAGAGCTCCGAGGATGCAAGAGACAGAAGACAAAACTCTCAGGGAGGGAGTCTGAGAGGAAACTGCTGTAACAAGCGGGAACCAGAGCTATACCCTGGGTGTCAGGCAGGCAGAAACCAACTGTCCTGCAGAAGGAAAACAGCAAGGTTCTTCAACCCTGTTCTTAGGTAAAAGAAAAAGAAATCTCAGCCCAGAATTTGTAGCCATAAAGCTGGCCCCAAAGCAGCACAAACTCAAAATATCTATGTTGGGTACAACACAAGCCAAATGTGCTTAAAATGGTCTTGAACACACACACACACACACACACACACACACACACGGGAAATAGTGGTCCTGATATATAGTGCCTTCAGGTACCTGGCAGAAACAATTGTGAATGCTCTCTAAATGAATATGACCACAATCCAATTTCATAATTTACTGATAAATTCTAAGGAATAAGAGATCACAGTAGACAAAAAAAGTCACAAAATATACAGGGGAAAAGGTATCCATGGACATAAGTCAGCAAACTGGACAAGCAAAGACTTCAAATATTGGAATTATCAGACTAAAATATAAGTACATAAAATTACATTAAAATAACTAAGAAATTGAAAATTATAAATAATGTCTTTTTTAAAAGCCTAAATGGAAATTCTAGAAATGAAATAATATAACAATTAAAATTAGGAAATGCAGCAGCAGATTAAATATGGTTGAAAAGAGAATTAAGGATTACAAGAGAATGCCCAGATGACGTAAAAAGACAGACAATATGAAAACCAGGTGAAGCTACAAAAGGAAGATAAAGTGAGAAAGTCCAACATATATCTAACTGTGGTTCTGGCAGAAGAGAAATCAAGAAGAAATGGCAACATTCCACAGAGTAATGGCTGAGAACTTTACAGAACGAGTAAAAAAAAGTATGAATCCTTGGAAACCTAAATACAAAAAGAAATATAAACCCCTGTCATAGTGAAACTGCAGAAAATCACAGGGAAAAAATAGGTCTTAAAAAACTCCCACATGAAAAAAATGACAAGCCATCTATAGAAGATGACTGTCTAACTGCTGACTTTTCAACTGCAGTCATGGAAGCCAAACGACATTGGATAGTTTCAATGTGCTGAGAGAGGAAAAATAGAATTGAATGCTCGGCAAAACTATCTTTGAAAAACATCTTGAAGACTATGTTTCAAAATAGAAACATTTCAGTCAAATTTGAGTTTATCAACCACATCCACTAAAGAAAATTATGGAGAATTTATTTCAAGCAGAAGAAAAATAATCCTGGATGAAAGTATGAGGTGCAAGAAGAAATAATGAGCAAAGAAAATGGTAAACATGTGCATAAATATAAAGAAATAATGGATTTATAAAAATTTCTCACTTGTGGGATTAACAAAATAAGAGCAAATCCTGGCTAACAACAGCACATAAATTGGGAGGGTACAATCAGAATCACATTGTAGGAGAAAGGTAACTTTAAATCATGTCAACAATGCATTTTGAAGTTCTTCATATTGAACCATACGGAATAGAAATACAGTATATCACTTCTGAGTGGTAGAGCTTGAAATGATATAAAATTTCCATTGAGAGAAATCTATGACTATTGCCTAAAACCAAAACCAAAATATCAATAAATAGCAACAGAAGCATGTTATTTACATAGCTGAATGTAATCACAAAGAGAATCAGTTAAAAGGGTTGAAAATGGTTGATTCTAGGAAGCAGAAAATGATAGTAGGAGTGGGCAGGGTTCTATAATAGCTTTATAGAATACATATCTGGTTTTTATACTATGTATAAGTTGGATAAAAATAAAAGTAAAAATTTATAAAAGTTGAATAACAAACCGGAGTAAATGTCTGCAGTACATGCTAAGTTTAGCATTTAAAAAAAAACAAAACTATATTTTATTGATTTTTCACAGAGAAGAAGAGAGAGGGATAGAGAGTTAGAAACATCCATGAGAGAGAATCATCGATTAGCTGCCTCTTGCACACCCCCTACTAGGGATGTGCTTGCAACTAAGGTACACGCTCTTGACTGGAATCGAACCTGGGACTTTTCAGTCCGCAGGCCGATGCTCTATCCACTGAGCCAAACCGGTTTCAGCAAGTTTAGCATTCTTAATTCATGAAGGACTCTTTCACATTCCCAAGGTGTACATCTCATGGACAAAGAACACGAATGCATGATTCACAAAAGAAGTTAAGTGGAAAAGAAAAATATATGAAAGTATTGTTGAAAAGAAATAAAATAAGGCAAACTAAAAAAGACATTTTTGAATATTTATATCTTTTCCTATGAAATTGGCAGATTTTAAAAAATTGCACCTCGTGTCATAGTAGATACAGAGAAAATGGATATTTGCTACCGTGGGTA